ACCAAAGACTTGTCTAAAACAAATATAGCTCTACATTGGCTGCATTCATACGCATTTATTTTAATTGAAGATAAGACATAACAAGATTTCATGTTTTCGTTACTTTACAATAAACACAACTCACTATTGAACAGCCCAAAAACGTCTAATTACTTTTATTTTTATCAAGTCAAAACTTCCCTACATTGGTCGCACCATCATTCGCGCGGCATTTTAGCGCGAACATACAATATGCAAGGCTGTTCCAAGAGAAAGATCGACAGTTGTTTTGAACACAGGATTTAAAACGGGCATCAACAGGGTCCAAAAAGTTGGAACCAAGCCCGGTAGATAGACCGCGTTTGTGGGTTTTCTGTTTATAAACGTTTTTTAGAAAATCCAGACCGTCATGTCTGACAGCGAGTCCCTGTTGTAAAATTCGAAGTTAAAATAAAAAGCGCAAAGCCCGGGGCTTTTTGTAAAAAAAAAGTTGAGCAAATGTTTTTTGTTTTTTGTTTTTTTTAAACGAAGAATAATAAGAAAAGGAAAAAAAACATTTAAAGTAAAAAGGTGCTTTTTCCGGAATTTTCCCCGAGAAAAAGTTTAAACAAAAACAAAAAGGGCGGGTGTAAGCGAGCAGGTGGTGTCCGGTCTGGGTTTTTTACCTTTTTAAATTTGGGGTTTTTCTTACCTTTTTGGGGTTTTTAAAATTCTTTTTTTTTTTTTTTTTTTCAAAAATTTAAATTTTACTAACATTTTGTATAATACCCAAATTAAAAAATTTCATGCTTTTCATTTATACTGCACGTTTTAACGTGTTTTTAATTTTGGTTATTCATGTTTGTTTTTTTAATTAAATATTAAAAAAGGGGGGTGTAAATTTATGGTATTTTTTTTTTTTTCCTTAAAAAACTTTTAAATTAAAATTACAAAAAATTTGTGAAATGAAAACCTGCGGTTAAAAAAATTTTAAAATTGTTTTTGTAAAAAACCTGGTTGTTATCCAAATTGACTCGGTCGGACATGTCAGCTATTACCTACGAAGCATACCCATAAAACAGCTAAAAAGTAAAATAAGGAACCAAAAAAAGTTTTTTGGTAAAAATTTTTAAAACCTAAATTACCGCATTTTTTTTTAAAGGCCACTGCAAAAAAAATCTTTGGTCCCCGGGGGAAAAAATCATCATTGAGAAATTCTGGTCCCTTTCCTTCTAGTTAAACCTTAGTTGATATCGCGTCGTCTTTGTGACGTTCATTTTCCCAAACCTGGCAAAAAAAAAGTACAACCAAAGTACAAAAAAACCCATGTAAATTAAAATTTTAATTGTACTTAAATTTAAAATAAATGTGCCTTTTCTATAATGCTTTCATTTCAACAATTATAAATACTTAATTTCTGCACTCTTAAATACAATACTACTTTATGCGACGAGAAAAGCCAAAGGGGGAGCATTCCATCCCGATAATTTATTGATAGATAAATACTTTTATTTCCTCCAATATTTGAAGAGCTGAAATGCAATAGCAAAATAGCTAAACTGTTTAAATTATTGCATTTTCTAAGCAGTTAAGTGCCACTCAAATTAATTAAGATTAACAATTTGAATGCAAAAAGTTATCACCTACCTGCCCAGAAATTGTTTCGTACATCTCCAAACCCATCTGCATATGATGAAAAGCTCTGATCTTCAAAGTTCTGGTTGTTGTTTTCTCTATTCATGATGACCTGTTAAAAATAAGAATACGCTGAGCAAGGTATTCCCTGGTCTTGTTTTGTCAGTGCTTATAACACAACCTTTCCATGAATTGAGGATTTTTTCGGTCTAAGGCAATTTGCTTTTTTTTATAATTGACATTCGTTACCCGGAATCTGCCGGACAAGCAAAATGTTTGTTTTGTTTGATTGGGTTTTACGTTACATCGACACAGTATAGGTCATATTGCGACGTTCCAGCTTTATTGGTGGAGGAAGACCCTAGGTGCCGCTCCGTACATTATTTCAGGCACGAGCGCGCACCTGAGTATAACCACCGACGTTCCGTAAGCTAGCTTCCTCACATGAAAGAATACAAGTCACTGTCGGGATTCGAACCCACGGCGCTGAGGGCCAAGTGGTTTGAAGTCAACGACCATAACCACTCGGCCACGGACACCCCAAGCAATATGTGTGTTTTGTCATTACCAAACAATTATAATAAATGATCGTATTTAAAAAAAGGACATGCATGAATCTACTAGCAAGGATTAAACACCATCTATCACTGCCGTATATCTCTTTCACAAAGGTGACTGATGTTAGACTTGACGTCACTTTGTGACAGATTTTTCACAGATAGCTTGTCCGGCAAATTCCGGGTAAAGGATGACAATTATCCAATAAATCTACCGGAAGTTACGTTGAAAACAAATTGCCTTATCCTACTCATGGATACGTTGTGTTTAAAGCTTTGACAAAAATCACCAGGGAGAACCTTGTTCACGATATACTTGGTTTGTTTGTTTGTTGTTTTTAGGGTTTTTTTTGTTTTTGTTGTTTTTGTTGTTGCCTTTTTTCTAGAAACAGAAAATACCATGCTAGTGTCTGATATTACAAATATTATCAGGCAAGGCTAGGGAAAAAGAAGGGCGCGGCTCTGCCGAGCACTTTATGTTTTTATCGAGCCGAGTCTGATGCAATTAATACTATCAGACACTTGTTTGGTATTATATTAAACATGTTTAATTTCAAATGAAACATAAGCCTGTCAAGAACCTCTCGAGTTAATGCGCGCGCAGTATTATGCTAAGGGTCATATCTATTAGAACTAGTTCCAAATGTATTAATCATATGTAAAAGAGACTTTAATATTCAAAAATTCTGGTTTATTAATTTAATATTTTTAAACTATTAAGAGGTAAAAATGTTCCATTCTCATTTTATTTAAATATGTATTGATAAGGTGTCTAATAAACCTGAGGGTGATTGATAAAGCAAAATCTATCAGGCATGCAATTTATCAACATAAATCAAGGTTTGTTTGTTTGTTTGTTTGTTTGTTTGTTTGACAAGGTTTCACGTCACACCGACACAGTATAGGTCATATGGCGACGTTCCAGTTTCACTAGTGGAGAAAGACCTCAAGTGCCTTCTGTGCATTATTTCAGGCACAAACAGGCACCTGAATGGAACCACCGACGTTCCGTAATCTAGCTGGAAAGCTTCCTCACAATAAAAGAATCTAAAGTCCCTGTTGGAATTTGAACCAACAGAGGCGAGAGGCAAGTGCCTTGAAGTCAACGCCTTAACCACTTAGCCACGGACGCTCCGTAGGAATTAATGCAATATCATGGTTAAATGCGATTGAATGGACAAGCCATATATAATATATGTATATGTTGTAAAGAAAAACTCAACCCGTACCAATTATTCAATGATTATAATGTAGACATACTGAAAAATGTCAAGAAAAAGACAATCAAAGTAAGTCTAACAGAAAATGGATATCTGGACATACAGACGAGTAATGATGAAAATTTAAGGCTTTGTTGAAACTTTAAACACAAAAAAAAATTAAAAATTTGAAACATTTACAAAATAGGGTCAAAAAAAAAAAAATTTAAAGAAAAAACCGCCCCATCCCCCCCTTTGACCTCCCCATGTCCCCAAAAGAGTCTTTTAATTTTCCCATTTGATTTTACTTTTATAGCCCTTCCGCCCCCCAATTGTAAACGGCCCGGGGGGTTTATCTAAAAACATCCTTAAAATTTCCCTGAAAACTAAAAACCGGGAACAAAAAACATATTTACAATAAATGAAATAATAAAATTTTTTCATTTTTCACGGGAAGGGTTTTCTCAAAACTAATGGTGGCAAATTTTGGGGCCATTTTCGTATAAGCATGTATTTTTTCTTTGCGGGCAAAAATACTTTTTTGCTGTGGCAGGACAAAGTTTTTCCCAATTTTTGCGTTTTTTGTTCCGACCCTATTCGCCACAGCCCTTATAAAAAGCATGCCCGAAAAGATATGTGCATTGTCTTCTACCAAAAAAGTCTGCACATCCAAAGTACAGTTCAGGTCAATCAAATATCTGCAACATTTCAATTTTGTCAAATTGGGCAAGTTCTTGAAGGATTTTCGTCTTTCTCATAATATATCCAATTTGGTTTCTTTCCCAGTTTAAAACCCATTTACAAACACAAAAAATTATTGTTGTTGAAAATCTATATAATATACATAGCGTTTTAAGTGAACTTGAACTTATTTTTTTTTGGGCCCACTGTAGCTAAAGTCATACAAAATCAGTTAAAATGCACCGGTGTCACTTTATTAGACCATAATCTTCCTTTCTTAAACAGTCAAGGGGAAAGTTAAAAGGCTTGACTAAAGCACATTCCCACTTTTATTCTTAGTTGTGTTTCGTAGAAAGTCTTAAGTCTTAACTATATTGAAGACCAAAACTGAGACAACTTTCGTTTCAAAGAAAATGTCCTAACTTATGACTTTTATGTTAAGACATTTACATACTGCGGATTGTACAAACCGCGAGTATTTTGTAACGTTTCTCATTAGAACGAATTAAATAAAAGTCTAAAACGTTTACTGAAATGAAAATATTTATTAAAACGGTCTTAAATTAGTCCTGTAGTTTATCATATAAGTCCTAGGACTTTGGATATACTTAGGACATTCCATGAAACACAGCCCGTGTTTACAAGTTCTTCGTTCTCATTGCCATTTGTGGTTAAATTGTTGCATTGCGTTGAGATGTTTATCATATCATGCCTGGTAAACAAAAGAGCCATCTCTTTCGGAGGTATAGGATAAATTGCTCTATCGTTACCTCTGAGCTAGTGCATGTTGCCAAATTTAAGTGTCAACAAAGGTATAAGGTTGTCTTATTATATTTTTTGTAAACTCTGCATCGAATCGAGTACCATATCCCCCCGAAAAAGGTTGCTCTTCTGTTTACTTGGCTTGAAAATGATTAGCTATATCATAATGCAATGAAAGCACGCATTAATGAAGTCATATTAATGCGTTTTAATGACGCTCAAATAATATATAAAAGGAATCACCATGATCACAATGCAAGCCGACATAGCCCGAATCACACTTGCAGGAAAATCCTGTCCCAACATCGGTACATGATCCTTTCACACATGGGTTGTTCGCACAAGATGATATTTCTGTCAATTTAAAGCAGTATGGTGAAGGTAAATGCATTGAATTCATGCGAAAGTTCGTTTAAATTCGGCAAAACTCGTCATTTTCCGTATTTATACAATTTATGCATGTTTGAAATATGCAACGTAGCATCAGATTCTTAAAACAGCATCACTCCAGATTTATGCATTTTTTATGAAAATAATTTTTAAATGAACTGAAAAAAAGTAAAATATTTTTCAAAATATTTTAAGGGGACATAATAAAATAGGTGTTTACAAAACTTACAGTAGGAATATATGTACTGAATTAAAAATCAACATTAACATACGGGTGTTACATAAAAATCCCGTATATCCCGCTGCGCATGTACACGTGAATCCGCCAGTTTGAGTTGAGGTGCAATGTCCATGTGTACACGGATTGAGTGAGCAAGGGTCACCTAAAATAGAGCATTTTGATTTGACAGAGGTATTAATATCATATCGTCTCTTGGAATGTCGTATAACATCGGCAAACTCCGTAAATTTCCGTAAAAGGTGCATGAAATACATTTTATGAATATGGCACAGACATAACATGTTTCTCACAGCGTGGATTTCTGTATTGCTACCATTCGATTCAGTTCTTTTAATACACTTTAAAGGAACTCCACTATGGTCTAATACCCTAATATGATAAAGTTTGAAATTCTTTCTTCAATCAACTTGTACACTTACATTTGCAACCAAGCAATAGAGGTCATATTTATAAATATACATGGTATTACATTGATAATTGATATTTATGCGATTTTTCCCGGTTTGAGTGAAAAGCGTCTACAATCTAAAAACTGTCCTGTAAAATATAAAAATGTCTTCAACTCCTATGTGTCTCAAAATGTGTTTACCAAAACATTTGCATACATGTAACGTCTAGCTATTAAGTGTAAACAAGCAGTATATAGATATAGAAGCATGGGTACAACACACATTTGAGCCGCGTCACGACAAAAGCAACATAGTGCGTTTGCTACCAGCATGGATCCAGACCAGCCTGCGCATCTATTAAATGTAAACAAGCAGTATTTAGATATAAAAGCATGGGTACAATACACATTTGAGCCGCGTCACGACAAAAGCAACATAGTGCGTTTGCTACCAGCATGGATCCAGACCAGGATCCATGCTGTTCGCTTACCAACTCTATTACAAGTGGAGAAACTGACAGCGAACAGCATGGATCCTGATCTGACTGCGCGGATGCGCAGGCTGGTCTGGATCCATGCTGGTCGCAAACGCACTATGTTAGTTTTGTCGTGACACGGCTCAATTAAGCAGTGCAGAACAAGCTCCAGCAGTGTCGAGTTATGTTCAAACAATTTGTGTAAAAGCAAAAGTACAACAACGTAATGCCATACTTAAGAAACATGTACATTTCTAAACTATAGCTAAAAATAGAAAAGTTTATTTTTGGAACAATAATTTATAAAACAATTGTTGTGATTGGCTGATTCCGTAAATGAAAAGTGACCAATTGGAGATCTTTACTTTTAAATGCGTTCAACAAATTGATTTAATTGGTTCAAAAAGATACAGAAAATGGTCCATTCATTCACAATAATTATACTAGGGTATTCCATTTGAATTCTTTTTATTAATGTCAATAATTCCACTATATAAAGGTGATTTTTAACATGCATGCGTGTATTTCCTAACAGTAGGTTATCTTGAGAACCGCTATTTTTTGTATATGGACAGACAAAACAGAATTCAATAATTTCAAAGTAATTGCAAAACTAACAACTGTTTTAGTTACAAAATGCAACGCATGCATTTTCGTATAAATATCGGTGTGAAAAGATGAATTAGACGTTTTAAAGTGCATTCCGTTTTGTGAAAAGGAAAATTTCAGCATCTAACCATTCAAGCGCATTGTCTAGTATGGTACTCCAATCCTTATTTTAGTCTCAATTAATCTTAATTGCAGCAACTCATAATTAGGAACAACGCTATGATCAAGTTAAACCTACAAAAGTATGGGTAAAACTACAAAGGGAAGGGGAACCATTATTCAGGAAAAGAGTAACTAATATATAAACTACAAACTATTGCCCGATTCAAATATACAAGACATGTTTTTGTTTATAGTATTACATGTGTTATTAGTAATTAGTAATTAAGACTTTTAGAGATATTATGGCCAAGTTAAGAACGCTCGAATATTTATAAGGCAAAATCCCAAATGTCCCTTATCTAAGGCCAAACTGCCTGCCGACAATACTTAACGATGAATTTAATAAGTGAGTAATTGCTTTTTTGTTTAAATTTTAACAAAAATATTGCATAAATTTGTCGGCAACTAAGCATGTAAATTATCACGATTGACCAATGAAAATGGGCGATACAAACGTACACTGTCATAACTCCGTAGCATCTGAATTATGAAGTATCTAAAGTAAATAAACAACGCTCATGTCTTGGTTATTTGTTCGGTATTCCGTCCATAACGATGTCCATATTTCTTCGACAAACTCCGAGATTTTCCGATATATTCATATATGTTTAAAAGCATTCATCTCAGAAAATATTTTGCTACTCCTGCTTATTCAAATGTGTACTTTATTAAGTAAGCTACAAAGTAATTCACAAAGAATGCCGAAGATTTACGAGGTTAAACCACTACTGAGGATGAATATACAAAATAGATGCATAGGCTAATGTTTTGTCAAAGATTACGAACCCTAAATGCGGTAAATATCGCAAATATCTGCTTATACAGAAATAAACTTGAGCAATATTTATTTTTAGACCATTTTGTCACGTGAGCGAGCACTACATTATTTGAACAAACCTCTAATATGGCAATTCGTATGCACGCCTTTTAAGGTTCGTAATTTTTAGATTCACTTACGCCGATCACAAAGGTCTCCAGTAAAGCCATGGTAACAAGAACAATGGAAGCTTGTTCCTACTGGTATGCACGTGCCATGACCGCACGGGTTTGATGAGCAAGGGGAGATCACTTTAGAATATAATAGGTTCAAAGTAAGAGCTAAATACAACCGAGACTGTGCCAAGATTCGCTCCAATCAAGTGGGAAGAAATGGGAATGAAAGTGATGATCAAAATCAAGCGCGGTACATTACAGAAATTACTTTACGTTCATGTATGTCAAGTTGTGTTCTTTGTGTTCTTTTATTACCTAACATGGTCATTTTTTCATTACTTCATAAACACGTAAAATCTCGAAATGTTCGAGAATAAGAAAAATGCTTTTTATACAGGTATGTTGACTTTGTTCAGAATCTGTAAGTAGGGTTTACAGGGAATATGTCTATATGAAATTAAATATTATAACACTTCGTGTATCAAATGATGCACGGCGTAAATTGATTTGAATAATTTTCTACGTGCACGTAAATTGACCTAATAAATATCTATTTACTTAAATACCTTAAGTACTACAACTCCTCTGAATAAAGTTTACCTAACTGTCAACGGGACCTTTGAATAAGGTACTCGTGCACGTAAGCTGGACTTCTGAATAAAGAACTACATGACTGTAAACGGGACCTTTGAATAAGGTACTCGTGCATGTTAGCTGGACATCTGAATAAAGTTCTACATGACTGTAAACGGGACCTTTGAATAAGATACTCGTGCATGTAAGCTGGATCTGAATGAAGTTTCACATATCTGTAAACGGGACCATTGAATAAGGTACTCGTGCACGTAAGCCGGACCACTGAATAAAGTACGACATGGGCATAAACTGGTAAGGTATTACGAAAAAGGGACTTAAGAATAAGGTTTTCAGTAAACTTGACTGGCATATAAAGTACAACGAAAACTGGACATGCAAAAAAAGGAACATCATAAATTAGACTTGTTAATTAAGTACTAAATAAACTGGCCTGTTGAAAGAGCACTTGAAAAAAGTACTGCTTTTACTTTAAAAGAATGGAACTACGTAAACTGAACATGAAAGTGGATGCACCGTAAAGCACAAATATGAAGTCAACTCTTAACAAATTAGTTATGTAAGCTAGAACTCCGAGCAAATTTAGAGGTGTAAACAGACGTAAGCATAAGCCCCAATTTTACACCCGCTCAGCAAACACCAAGGCCCGCGCATATAAGTGTTGGCCAGTATAAATGTAAAGCAAGCAGAAAATGTGCAAAACATATAAATATACTTCTAAAGTTCATTTGCAGTTCATCAGTTTCAAAACTAAAACAACAGTCCGTATGAGGAACAAGTTAAAGTTAACGAATACTCAGAAATCTCCGTCCGAACGGCTTACATTTCTTTGGTCAACTTTCTGACAGATTTTATATGGCCCTATATAGACGCTCAGTGTGTATGTATGACCCGACCGCAAAGTGTAAGTTATGGATTATATTGCAAACAACCATATAACATGTCAAAAATCTTTATAACGAATTTACATAGTAAGCATCTTTTTTAAATAAAGAAAAAAAAAGAAATTACTTTAGAAATATGTGTTTTTTTCTATAATATTGCACGTTTTTTTTTAAACACATGACTGCTGTCAGTTCATGAAGAAATCACTTTCTTTCCTCTAAAAAGGAATTTTGCTGAATTATAATTACGTTATAAAGATTCCTGACAAATTAAATGGTCGTATATCAACGGCTGTTTGCAAAATAACTATCCCCTAGCGGCCCGGGTTATATATACAAACAACCGTTTGTATAGGGCCATATAACATGTCAATTTTTTATAATAACTAACAATAAACCTAACGATTATCCAATGGAAAACGACGTTACAATCTTGATGTTTTATTTATTACACATCTTAGAGCGTATATATTCACCAATAAGAGCTGACAGACAGAAGACGTGTCAGACTTTTTTTTCATCCTTAGCTTCTTGATCGTTTCTTTTTCTTCACATATACTCATATATTAAAAGTTTAAATATAAAATATTTTATTTTTATCTATCTCTACATATACTACATTTAAACTTACCTCTGTCGCACAGAGGACCAGTGTGCCCTGATTGGCATGTACACGTGAACGTCCCGTTAGCAAGAGAACTGCACGCACCGTTCACACAGGGGTTATGTGCACATGGGTCAGCTGCAATTGATCATTTATATCATGTCACGAACTTCATACATACAGATTATTTACACTTAGCATGAAAGAAGTAACACCGGTTTCAAAGGGATTTTAAACATAAAAGTCAGCTCTGATCTTTTGATTAATATGAAAAAGGCAAAGCCAATATAATTCAGTATAGTTATCCACAATTTGCAATAGTCTCGTGAGAAAGTAAAAGATTCTGATTACACTTACGTAAGTCACAATTTCGACCAATATATCCGGCGTGACATGCGCATTGGAAGTTGTTTTGTCCCAGGCTAATACAGTTTCCGTTTAAACATGGATTTGTTGTGCACGCGCTAATTGCTGAAAATATTTCAAAGTGTAAGTTAGGCCTCATGAAATCGCATGTTCTCGGTCCTTTCCGTCAAACTTCGGATTACGAATATATAAATTAAGTAAGTTTAAACATATAAAATTTAAGAAAAGTAACTTATTTATATAGAAACCGAAAGTGAAAACGAATGCATACTTTTGACATGAATTTGTATATGAATATGCCAATTTGATCACTTTCTGCTCAGCTTTAGTTGACATGGTTACATTTTTGTATGATTAGTTTTGAAATGTTATATGCTTAACAATAAATATTATGAAATATCATGAAAAAAATCTATATTTACCCGAGTCGCAAAGTAGACCGGTATATCCGGTTGCGCATGTGCAGTGAAATGTTCCGTTTACCAACGATGAACAGACTCCATGTGTACACGGCGAAGCTTGACATGGATCGGCTGTGCGGGGAAATAATTCACAAATTTATGTAATGAATGTTAACAGAATGCTTAGTCCTCCATTGCATATAATATAAATCAATTGTGATAGTTTTATTGTAATAAGAAGTACAAGGTTAGCTTTTAAAAAAGCTAGTAGCGACTCGCTTCGTAATTTTTTTCCAGGGGTGCGTTTAAATGTAAAAATGACAGTTCTGTTAGCTGAAGAGACTTGAGCGAACATCAAAATAAAAGTGATGGAAGCAAGTTCTCTCAGTTTTACAAAGAGGAATATGAGTATTTATGAAGATGCATGTAAACAGATAAAATGAAGTCCCTATGTCTATGCACATTTACTGTATGGCCTGTTGACCATGACCAAATAAATGTTAGATAGGAAGAATTCATAAAGAGGTCTCTTTATACGAAGTTATGTTGTAATATGTTATTTAGTATTGGAATGAGTGACAGACACAAGTCCTAAAGTAAACACAAGTTGTCAACCAATTCAGCCAGAAAAGCCGGGATCCTATTAAAATATAGGGATCCCGGAAATTGACCAGTCTAAGATGTTTTTCAGATAAGCCGGCATCCTATTAAAACATATAGGGATCCCAGGAATTGACCAGTTCAAGAATATAGTTTTCAGAAAAGCCGGGATCGTATTAAAATATAAAGAGATCCCAGGAATTGGCCAGTTCAAGGATATAGTTTTCAGAAAAGCTGGGATCGCATTAAAACATAAAGGGATCCCGGGATTTGACCAATACAAGAATGTAGTCTTTGATTTTTTCAATTAATTAGGCATATAATTATAAGTATTGTGATTTCCGCATTTTAAGTTTGTTAAAAAATAGCTCTAAATATATTTATATCCTAAGTTTAATTAATTTAACGTTCATTACATACAATAAAAAAAACAACTTAACGTTTAATGGCCTTTTATTACGACAATAATCAACACAAATATAGATTATTAGTTTTTCCTCTATATCTAATACGATCCCGGATCCCGGCCAGCCCGGCCGTCCCGGATCCCGGCCAGTCCGGGCGTCCCGGATCCCGGCCAGTAAATATATACACTAAATACCGGAAAGGATAAAATGACCGGAAAAAAGGAAAAATAAAAAAATGCACAGAACCAGATGTACACTTATGTTAATTAACCAAACGAAAACTTACTACAGAGGAACAGGTGAGATCGCTAAATCAAATGTCAGTGTAAATATGATTTATTGAAAAGAATTCATGAAAACAAAAATTCTTATCATCAGTATATCTTTGCGCTCAAAATAATACTTGCTGCTTTTTAAAGATGGCGTGAAAATTGAAGGTTTTTTGACGCTATGTAAGATTAAATTTGATTGGCTAAATATTTTTGGATCCTAGCCCTGATAGATAAATTTTGTAGAAAGCTGGAAGCCAACTTCGATTAAATTTTTGGATGGATTCAGAGTTTTAGGTGGTTTCTCAGTAAAATCCTAACGTAATACCGGCTCGCCGTGGCGAGCCGGCATAACTTGAAGCTCATATTCATGTTTATTCATAATGGCAATTCCTGGATAAGAGGGCCGCAACACTGGTGTCAGATGAGGAAACAGGACCGTGACCCCGAGTCTACCTGTCTAGATTCGATTTCACGAGCGATGTAAGAAAAGGGCATCACTAGAAAAAACGTAACACGGTCATCGTTGGCTGTGGCCTAGTCAATGATCAATATTACGATCCCTCAGATGGAACATGGTTGCTTTAACGCCCATACGGCTTTATCAGTAAGAAAAATACAATTCATATACCTTTATGGGTCTGCCACTAAACAACAGATTTATATATCGTCACCTTAGTGCAGTACTTCTAAATTTAATAGAAGTTAAACAGTTATTCCACTAAGGTCCATTGGGTCTAAGTGATCAGTGATACCATTATCAAAAAAGATGCTTATCAAATATATGCATACAACAGGTTAAGCCCGACATACGGCGTTTTTTGTTGATGTTTTTTGTTTTTGTTTTTGGTTTTTTTTGGGGGTTTTTTTTTTGTTGTTGTTTTTGTTTTGTTTTTTTTACAAATTTTATTTAGTTCAATCAAGCTGAAAGCTATAAGATTATAGAAACACTCTAAAGTCCGTTCCTGAAAGCATCCAGTACTAACCAATGAGTGTAAATTTTCTTGCCCCCAAGGAAACAACGGCTTGCCACATTAAAGGGTTTTGACCCACGCAACCAGCAATAATTGGATTACTAGTCCATTACGCGGTAATCATTCGGTCATCATTCTGTTATCGACAGTGCTAAGTTCTTATTAAGAGCAAGAACTTTACATATGTCCCCCTGTGCACTGGCTGTACCTGGCAAATAAGTAAAGCCACGTTTTTTTCTGTTAATCCGAAGCAGAATTCGCGCTCCATAGCAAAGAATTCGGAACCAGACGGACTTAAGTCAGCTTGTTACGGTCCCTTACATAACAGCACAGTGAAAAATCTAAATGCTCATTAAAACAATCTTCGCGTAAATTCTTTTCTCATAAATTATCATCCATGTTAGTTACATATTGCAACAATGATTAAGACAAATGGATAAATAATTCTATAGATGCACGCTCCACGTTAAGCATGCGCCGCCCCATTCATGCGCGCGCATGAACGCTAAACGCATGCGCAGTATCATCAATGATGTATATTATACATACTTTTGTCACAGTTGATTCCAGCATAGCCAGAGTAACATGTGCATCTGTATCCTAGGATTCCATTGGCCGAACATGTTCCATGTACACAGGGATTTGTTGAACATTTGCTAATAGCTGATAAATGGAGAAATAAAATCATCAGAAGTAGGCTTAATTTTAGTACATACTATTTTCATAGAGAGGTCCTCTGGAGAGAAATAACTTCTTTACAACAACAGTAACATATCGAGGACTTACATGAAAACTGGTCCATCTTTATATAGAAATAGAAGCAGGTAGACCAGTTTCGCTCTGAACCCTTGGTAACTTCCATAAGTAGGTCTTCAAAATAAATTGAAGGTCTCCAGAACAACATCTCTTAGCAACAATAACAACAAAGATCTTTGCCTCCAATAGGTTGTTGATAAGCAGAGATTAAATGTTATTACATCGAATAAAATCGCATTGTTTCTGTCAAGCAAATTTTTTTTCAATCCAATACCCCAAGGTGCTGGTTCTTTAAGTCCAACATATGGATTTAAAGTTAAGTAGCATTTACCGAAGTATTTAAATGTATATGACCTTTGCCAGAAAGTGGTTGTTGTGAAAAAGTAGCAATTTTAGATAAAAAGCGGGAAAATAACAAATTAAGTTACTCCTGCAAGCAATGTGTAAATTGTTACTAAATAATTATTATTTTTTTATAAACATTTTTTGCAAGGTTTTCTTTTTTTCTTTCTTTCTTTCTTTCTTTCTTTCTTTCGTTCTTTCTTTCTTTTTGTTTTCTTTCTTTCTTTCTTAATTAATTAATTTATTTATTTATATATAATTTATTTATATCCTTATTTATTTATTTATTTATATCTCGATGCTAGCGCCTTACCTTGGTCACAAAGAAGGCCAGTGAATCCCGAGCTACATGTACAATGAAATGTCCCATTTGTCAGTGTGGAGCATACGCCATGGAGGCATGGGCTAGCTGAACATGGGTCGTCTGTTAAAAAAGAAAATATAAAATACTTCTTCATTCAAAGTTGAACTGTGTCGTAAATGAAACAATGGAAATCGTATATATACTTGTAAGTGAAGATTTCATTATTTGAGGGGCGATCGTCTGCTGGCCCATTTCCAAAAGTGGACTGGCCGCCATTTTCAATGCCACTCATATCATCGTTACAAAAGCTCCAACGAATAAAGTATTGAAGCTGATTTGTACCATTACTTTTCAAGTCAACAATAAGAATGGCAACAATGCGCCACCATAGGAATGAATTATATAAGATTGCCATGCTTATATTTTGTATTAAAAAGCTAATGAGTGATTATAGAACAATTAATTGTTTACGACAATGATATCCTTAACACAGTTTTAAGTACTCATTAAGATCGTTTGAATTCGGCAAACATCGTCATTTTCCGTACATTTTAGTTTTTAGAAAAGCTTCAACTTAAACAGATTCTCGTTGCTCTAGATCATCCCGACGATCGATAAAATTTATAAAGTACGGAAATAGACGGAAAATGCCGAATTTGTACTATCGTGTTATATTAAGAACGTTACTTAAAGGGTTAACTCACGTTTATCACATAATGTGCCGATATATCCTGGTGAGCACGTGCACTGAAAACTGTTGCCATTTTGATGGCACGTGCCGTGAACACATGCGTTTGTAGAGCACGGACTAATTGCTATAAACAGATATATTTATATTAATATAACTCATTCATCTAAAGTTATTAAAGTAGGTAAAATATAATTTCATTTAAATACAGGAAAATTTCATTTAAGCAAGTATTAGACTGTATTGAGGTAAATGGAAAAATAAAACTTGTTAAAAAAAGTATATATAACATGTACATTTCTTCACAGGAAAATCTTAATGTATGTCTGGGCTTGGGCATTTGGGTATCTTTAGATCATCGGGTTACTTGTATAAGAATTATCCTGGGGGGTGGGGGGAAGAATCACAGAACTATGGGTTTTTCTAGGATCAAAGAAATTGTTCAAAGAAGCTCAGATACTATTTCGTTATTCGAGCAAACAATGTTTTGTTTTTCATATTCATTAAATATATACATACGAGCGTCGCACAGAAGTCCAGTAAAGCCCGAGTTACACGTGCAGCTGAATGCCCCCGTCGACAAAGGTGAGCATATCCCGTGGTCACATGGAGAGTTTTTACATGGATCCGCTGAATATAAAACAAAGTCTTACAAATAATGTACTTCTTTCAAAACAAAACAAAAACAAACAAACAAATTTGACATTATTTACATATATCATGCTTATGCTGCTGAAACTATACTTGTAAATTGAGATAATTTAAAAAAAAGATGCGATAATAACTTCAATAGTCACATTTAAGCCAGGTTTAAGGGGTTGACTAATTACTTAGTACGTGTTTAAGTTTATTCGAAATTTACTATAATAGTTTTCGAAATAAACAATTATATCGTGTGATATAACTAGGCACATGTTTATTTTATCAATATTTTTTATGCTATTTTTTGTCGCTTTGAAACAAAATATAAATTCAAAAGTCTATAAAAGTGGAATTTACTTACGTCTGTCGCACAGCTGTCCGATAAAGCCAGTATAGCATTTACACGTGACGGAGTTCCCACTCGCAGAGCACGTGCCCTGAATGCACGGGTTAGATGTACACGGGCTGGTTGCTGTATGTAAATGTAATATACATGTTTATATCTTACATGAATATGTTCTTTCTTTGCTTAAAATCTTACCCTTTTATATATATTGCTAGACTTGTGAATTTTTTAATTAAAGGTATAATATGCCTCAGAAACGAATATATTTTATCGTGCCTACTGAAGACAGGGAAAACATGAGCTTTAAAACATTTAAATATTTTCACCAAGAAAACGTTGCGTTGAATGTGCAATTATTTGTCATAAAAGTAGCAAAATGGAAACAAAGTACATGTGGTATTTTGACTTCTGTATAAAATACTCAGTCACTTTAGCTAAGTATTGCAAACAAAATAAAAAAAAAAAAAAAAAAGGAAGCTAAAGATTGTTTAAGTAATTGCCAAATTTGCCGATGATTAACGTTTTGGAAACTATAACAAAACATCAAAAATAAAAAGCTTTTGAGAAACAAAATGTAAAGGCATTTCTTTGGCATAATGGGCCTTTAAGACAAAACCATACAAAATTTCAAAACATTTACTGATTAGCAAACAGCACAGATAATGTTCTTAGTCTGCATTGGTTCGCATGGCTAGAATATGTAGCAAGCTAAAGTTAAAAGTAATCGACAATGGGCCTTTAAATAGTATACTCTACGGGATGACGTAAGCGGTGTAACCGTTCTTTTCTAGTTTTCTGTCGTTTACTTTTCAAATAATTTCGAGTTCCATTGGAAATATTAAATGATTTTGTAAATTAGAAATGTTGTTGATTTATGCAGAATTTATTTGAGTTCGATTGTGAAGGAAGCTGTAAGCGATTTCGAATCCGTTCCTGGAACCAACCAGTACTAAGCAATGAGTGTAAAGTTTCTTGCTCAAGGAAACAACGACTGTATATTTACATACATTTATCACAAAGTTGTCCGGTGAATCCCGAGCTGCACGTGCAATAGAATGTACCATTTGTTAATGTCGTGCACACACCATGTGTACACGGGGAAGTGCTGCATGGGTCCGCTGTAAAATAAAAATGTTTTCGTTACATGACAAAACAGCAAAAATGCCATAACATGTATATGTATATTCAATTTTTAAATAATGGACCATGCATGAAATAGAATAGGAAAAAATGCGAAATATATCTCCGTACAACACCGTGTGTTTCTTTTAAGAATGTTACAATGATTGCAAAATTGCATTTTCCAAACTCCCCGCAGCGGTTACTTCCTCTGATCAGTACAGAAACGCGTGACGTAACCGCTGTGAGGAGTTTGTGCATTTTCAAGTTCGTTTGGAACTTAATCCATAAATATTCATTGTACAGGTATGACCACATAAATTTTTGTTACACATGGTCATTTGCTTTATGCATTGTTTCAGAAAACGTATAATGACACCAGACACCAAAAAAAAAAAATAAGATGAAATAAAAATAATATATATTTTCTAGATTAGCAGTCATTTAAAGTGAAAAGTATACTTACTTTAATATGATATTAAGCATATTTAAACGAAAACATATTAGTGTATAATATACCTTATTTGTTTGAGATGTAAAAGAAAATTAACAAATTAATTATAGAAATGGGTTTTGCTGTACTGAATATTTTTTCTTTTCCTTTAGTTCTCCGTTTACATAAGACTGACGGAAATTTAAGCATGTTGCATTTTAAACATTTTACGGTAAAAAGGCGCGTGCTAAAACTGAAGTTCTAGGATTACTTACTTTTGTCACACAACTGCCCAACAAATCCATTTAAGCACGAACACTGGAATGAGCCGCCACTGTCGGTGCACGTACCATGCACACAAGGACTTGCAGAGCACGGGCTTTGGGCTGTTATTAAAAAAAAAGTTGATTACGTAAACAGTCATACATGTAATATTTCAGTACCAATCCGCTGATATATATTGTAAAACCTGTCGCGTTTTAATATAAATATAAGTGTAAATATTGAAATAATATATTATTGTATAAGTGTTAATGCATGTACATGTATGCGTGTACATTCTTATCTGTTTTTGTATAAAAAAGAAACGCATAACAATATGAAAAAAACTAGAACTATTCTCTCATACTTTTTCCATTGGAATAAAAAACAATCAAACAAAAACAAACAAACATGTATTAACTGAAATATTGCAGACAGAATGTACAAATTACAAATGTTGATAATATCCTTCAAGATTTAGTGATAAGCATTATAGAACTACAATTTACGTCAATCCCATTATTTCTGTAAACATAACCATAAAGTCAACATTTAGAATCAAAGCACTGGAAGCACTTTTGCTCTAGTCTTTTAAATGAGCGATCAATTGAATAATGTGCTCGGTCATCTTTGCAAACGATTACTGTAATAAAGACTACGGGCCCTTATGAGCTGTGTCCGATATAATTCTATATTGTCAAAATGAAAAAAAATATCCTCTCCTGTGAGAATAATAGTCTAAAAAAGCTATAATGAAAAACTATAAAAAAACGGGGCCGTTTCACGTGTAAATTACAAATCTATCCGAAAATAGTCGTGTACCGATTAATTAGGACATTTTTGTCAATTTGTGCATTTTCAATGCATCAGCACACTTGAGATACATATCGTTGTTATTATTTCAAATATTCCGCTAAACTGAGACAGAGACAACGTTTCTTACTCTACAAATGCTAAAACACATTGGTATTTTGAAATGGAATTCATTCGCACGTCCATCCCCCCCCCTCCCTCCCCCACAAAAAAGTGGAGTTTAATTTTTTTACTTATACTTAATTCGTTTTTGTACGTACTGAGAAATTCATTCTGTCTGTATATCTCTGCATCTCATGACTTTAGTCATGATATCATAAAGGTGTACCTTTATACATAGCGACATGATATACATATGACGGACTTTTTACAAACATGCATTTAACATAAAACGAGACATGTCGATAATTCTATGCGAACTAATTTTCTCGTGTCAAACTGCCTAACAAAATATTATTTATTTAAAAGAAATAAAATATCATCTAGATATTTGTTAAAATTTAATTCCTTTACCTGCATCACAAAGTTGACCCGTGAACCCAGTGTTACACGTGCATTGGAAAGCTCCGTTTATAAGAGCGGAACACACACCATGTTGACAGGGTGATGGCGAGCAAGGGTCCTCTTAAAAGTAACGAAAATAGAAACATAGAAATGTAAAATTCTTAGAAGAAGGGAAGCACAGAAGGGACATTCATTTATTGATTTTTTATAGGCTATCGTTGTCAGTACTCTTGAAAATACTAGTACTCAATATACTCTAAAGCATCAATTAAAAGTCGCATGTGCAACAATATAATGTAGTTTGATGCCATTTGAGAACATATAAATTGTAAAAAAAATTAAATCAAATTAAATTAAATCAAATTAATTTTTGGAGTTTATGCTGACATTTCGTTTTTGGATTTAACTCACTACATTGTGGGAACAGTACCTCTAGACGTTTGCAGAAATCATGATCACAAAATAGAAATATATCGCTTGTTATGCCAACTTTACATTTTTCATTTATAATTGTACATAAATCGGTGTGAACTGATGGATTAGGTGTTTTAAAGTGCATTTCGGTGGGTAAAAAGACGAGATTTTAGCATTCAATCATCCAAGCGTCAGGTATACACCGGAATACAGCATTTAGTCTGGTGCTCCAACACTTTCTTAGCTTCAATCATTTCTCTTTAAGGAGTGTTATGGTGAAATCTAAACTCTTAGATATTATATTAATTATCCAACATACTTGCTTGCTTTATAAACTAAAAATGCCGCACACTGCCGATATTAAACATTTGAAAAATAGATAATTGTATGTTTATATATTAATCCTTTATGTCAGTGAGTTAGTCCGTTAAACGTTATATTACTAAAATAAAAGAATTCGTCGACTTTATTCCTTGCATTTCCTGTTACAAGATAGATATATACTTACTTTGGTCACACAGATTGCCAATATATCCCGAATTACACGTACATTTAAACGACGTGCCAGCTACAGTACATACGCCGTGAACACATGGATTTGATGAACATGGGTTTGCTAGTATTGGAAAAGGTAAAAATAAATCAATATAATAGAGATTTGAATTGGACATAAATGTGAAAAACAAAAGCACAAAAAAATCTATTGCTTTAATAGCGAAAGGTCTCAAAATAAACGAAAATACAAGCAAAACCTATATTTATGTATATGCAAGAACATCAGTCTAGGTTTTTTTAAAACTAGTTATCATAATTATCAAAGCCCGATTAAGAAACAAGTTAATTAATGCAAATTATGTATGAATAACTTACGAATCTTCTACCTTCAGGAACTAGACATAAGGAAAATGGTCGTGGCTCGATATTGCTCAAATTCCAGGATGCGGAGACAGAACTTTAAACCACTACATACATGTCGAATGTTTTCCAGAATACAAGTTATAATTCGATGTATTTTCAATGATTATCAAATTAACTATGATAACAAATTAAAAAACAACCGTTTTGTATAGGAAAATACAATTGTAAATTACATACCCATTGTAGTTTGGACTGGTGTTGATGACGTCATTACTGACGCTACAGTTGACGCCACCGGTGCAGTAGTAGTCGGGCTCGTGCAAAGTGAGCAAGATTTATTGCAAAACGTTTTCATTCCATCGATGGTACATACATCTTGTCCCGATGCAAGGAACGTCTGATTTAATGAAGGGCACTTTGGATCATCAGCGCAAACTATAAAACATTAAAATAGTTTCGTTAATATAATTATATCAGACCTACAATCCTATGGGAAACTATTAGACAGTTCCTTTTAATTTTCATTTTGTATTATTTCCGTTATTTCAAAATATAATTTTCTTCAAGTTATTATAATTGTAGGGAATGATTATGATCTATATAAGTTGACATGTCTCAAAAAATATGGAAACTATTTTACTGATGTCTAAAAATATCGATTTAACGATGATGTTTTGCCTAAAAATGCATATAATTGTACGCGAGTGCAAAACAAATTAAGACAAAATCTCACCTGAAGACATCATGCCATTCGCATTGCAGTTTGAATTACACAGCTGCGTATTACAGCACGAAGAGCACGGGCTAGAATTCGTCATAAGACCACATGTCTAGAAATAGACAAAATCGTTGTCAAATTCTTTATGAACATCATGGAAACGATCAAAATGAATGTATGGACTTTACTTCATGATAAAATAAAAAAAATAATCAAACTAATTGCTTAACATTGTTGATCTATTTCATTTAATCAAATCTAGTTGAAGTCTTTTGATATTGTACATTTAATGTAATTCCAGGGACATCATACTACATTTCATTTCATATTCTGGTTTTGAGAACTGTTAATAATGGAAGATAAGTAGGTATGCTTAGATGTGTATAAGAAAAACGTCTATTGGTTGAAAGAAAAAATAGGAGGAGCTAGCACTGTATTGGTCAAACGCTAAATGATAAAAAGTAGGAATTCAAAAAACATGCACTGTGCTGGACAAACACCTAATAATTCAAACTATAATTTAAAGGAGCAAGCACAATGTTGGCAAATGACAAATGATTAACGAATAAAACAAAAGGTCGAACAGAACCTAGCGCTGAATTGATTCGAACTAAAAGTGGGAGGAGCTAGCACTGTATCGGGCAAAGCTAAATAATTAAAATTCGATATGGGAGGAGTATTGTACAACCTAAATGATTCAGGACCCAAAAAAGAGTGATTTTATTGCGTTGAATAGGGGTTAAATGCGGATATATCGATATAAGATAATCTTGTTTTTACCTTTGGTTTCCCTCCTATGGCATGTATGGCTTAAGCGTGAAGCTTAAGCGTGAAGCGATATTTCTGAATTGCATTTGTTCGGCTTTTTAGTCGAAAAATTCGGCGATGGCAATTGGCCTTTCTTGACCCTGAAGTATATTCCTTGGAAACAGTCAAATAATTTGTTAATATAATATACTTACGCTCTGTCTCATGCATTTTACTTCGTATTTCCCTCCAATTTTATTCACGCCACAACTCTGTCGTAAGAAAAAAATTGTACTCATACATTATTGTGAAAAAGTACTGAGCATTGTACGTACAATTTACCACAATGGTTGATTAAAAAGAACAAATATTTCTACATATACTATGTCTGTTTAATTACGTTTAATTTCGATTACTGCCAAATGTAAACTCTGTATACTCGTAGTGTCGTGCACGTATAACAACTATTATTAAGCATCATAACAATCTTACATTGCATAAAATTCAATTAGACCTATTTAAAAGGGATTTTTTTTCAGTTTATTTGGTTTCATAGACAAAACATAATTAAGTACCTCATCTTTCCCGCAAACTTTTATGGAATCACATAAATCTGGACTGTCCACATGATAATCACAGTGGTAGCAAATAGGTCCCATGTTTGTGGGCCAGCCTGCAAATGAAGTGTAATATGTATTATCATATTGGTTCACCATAGGTAGAGGAGAAAATATATCAATTACCAAATTAATAAATGTCGTGGAACTGTCTGATACTCGTGTATTCTGAACAGAATATAATAGAATAAATAAAATCTTAATAATCACTTAAATGTTGGGCACGCAGGTGTTGTAAATCACATCTTCATATGCATGTAGGTGTATATAAATGATAAATTATCCTTAATACGAAGCTATAGGGCGTGGACGACAGCTTTTACTAATCTTCCAAGAACTGACGCATTTAAACCAAATCTATTTTTTCATTTCGTAACGTAGGATGACTTCAGGGTTCCCCCTTTTTTAATTTGCAGTCAGTAATCGCAATCCTTTTTCCATTTTCCTTATAAAAAATGAATGACATAATTATGCAGGACATCAATTTTGGAGCAATTAAAAGTGTTACCTCCAAATAGTTAAAAGAAATAAACTTACCTGAGTTTCCACATAAACTAGTGGCGCACAGATCTGATTTACAACAGTCACTGCACACACCGAGATTTGGTGCTGATACAGTGGATGCTCCGCATTGCTATAAATAGATTAAATATATTTTAGAATCTAAAAATAGACACGTTATCATTGGTTGTTAGCGTATACGCTAAAAATTGTATTCAAAGTGTATATTTCAAATAGACACATTATCATGGTTGTAAATATTTCTAAAAATCTTTTACCATCTGAAAAGGGCGTTTTATCTTTTATTTTAATACACTTTATTTAATTGCAGGAAAAATATATAATTTCTCATTGGTCATAAATGCAGTATCAAGCTAAACCCAAATACTCGTAGAAGGAAATTTATGTAAAAACAAATTCCCGAATTGTTCTCAAATTTTCAAAACACAATAAACCATAATCATGAGTAATATACTATCATCTTTTTCCTTTTATTGATGAAATATTATTACTTTTTAAGTGCACCCAATAAATGCTTGACACAGCTGTCTTTTGAAAAATTGTACCTATGCATATGATTAGTACGCCCAAATTTATCAGTAAATTCAACCTGACTAAAGTTCTGCTTATTTCTTGCATGTACATCTTATTGCCGCCTTCATTGTGATTCGGATTTCCCGAGAAAGCTATTTTAGCCATGCAATCAAACCGTTCTTTACAGATAGGTATTAGACGAAGTTTTAACATATCTTTCTCCGTGGAAGTAAAACAAATTGTTGATTTTTGCTCGAAAAAAATGTTTTGAAATAATTGGAAACAAATAACTGAAAATGAAAATAATAGATTCAATCTTTAATTACCTGCGGCTATATAGACAAAGCCATGTTCGTGAAAATTACCTACTCGGTATTGGTTTTCCAGCGGTTTGAATAAGAAACCGCATCGTTTTCAAAATTGTGAAAGCTCGTCGATGATTGGCTGTTAAAAAGATTCCGAGGTGGTGACAGTCTATTGGTGATTGCCAGATCCTAATGCGGTGCGTTATTTAGGAACTTATTTTAATTCAGATTGTCAGTGAATTCGCCAACATGCAGACAACACTTTTAATGGTGAAATATTTGTAGATAAATGGTTGGAGCAAAGTGTTATAAAATGTCAGCGTCACATACCATTACGCTCATAAAAATATTTATCAATACTTTTGACAAATGACAAATGGTAATCAGGCACGAAACATGACCTATGGTGGGAGAGTTGTGCCATGTCGTATTTTCGCCATGTCGATAACACAATGTGACCACTTTGTCGTACTTCCGCTTCGCGGGCGCAATGCGAATACACGATAAAGTGACAACTATGTCGCGTGGGTCGACTGACGAATACTCGTACATAATCATACGATAAAGTTTTAGCAAACTTGGGACACATCTGTCGTAAGATCGAGTTTTGCCTGGAGCCCTGAGGCGCGAAAATAAGACATAGCACAACTCAGTCACCGAAATAACGAGTTCCTTCCCCCTTACAATACATTATTGGCGGCCGCGCCGAAGCGCGGAGCCACTTATGGAATGAAATCAGATTTTGTGATATAGTCTGTGGTAAATGTAGGCAGGGAACCAGACTAAGAAGTTACCTGAGTATCTTTACATCCGGCTTTATGTCTGAGGTACCCGGCTGGTGCGATATACTGCTCTAGATAACATGTCTGTAAGTTAAAATAAACAAGTTAAAATGGTTTCCTGTGAGGACATTTTTAATGATTTTAAGACGTTTCATTTAAAACTCTTTTCAAATTTGTCTGTAAAATAAGTTTGTGTCGAGAATATAGTTGACAATAATCGATCAATAGCAGTTACTTTGGAAGACCGGAGACTTGAGAAGGTCGATAAGAAGGTCACGTCTGTATCATTCAAAGATGGCGTGTAATAACGTTATGTATGTTTTTGATAAAAAAAAATTATTTAAGTGAAATAAAACAAGTATTTCTGTTTAAGAAAAAGATTAAATACCATTGTATCAATAATTTCACGTAAAAAACTAAAATAAACACACAAGTTTAGGCAGAAAATATCTCTATTTATTACGGCAGATGCCACTACGAATGTTTTAATTTTATAGATAAACAATTTATTGTTTGTAATATTTGAAATAGATATTAAAGGAACATTGATCATTTCAAACACCTCAAGTTTTCCTACTTAAACGGTAAAATAATTATAGAAAACTAGAAATAGCACGTAATAGTGTTATGTATTTAATTAGGTAAATTCACCATAGCTAAATCCGTAACGCACCGACAACCAGTATTTAGCGAGGTTTTTGAAAAGGTCAATTAACCAACCATGTACGGTTGAAAGATCACGTGTTCCTCAATGTACCGAAAACAGGTCACGTGCTTTTCTATGCCTCAAAAATTAATCGCGTACCAATATCATGCGGGCTCCAGCCCGCAGGGAATAAGCAAAAAAATATAAACACGGCGTGTATTCCACGTGACGTTTTGAGATCTGCTTAAGGCAGCAAAGCAAAACAAAAGATGATTAGGTTTTTACTTTTTGACAAAACATTAATTATGTTTCGTGATTGGTATGGGATATAGTGAAGACACCGCTCATCTCATTCTAGTGAGGAACAAAAACAAAAAATGTTTCCTGAAAAAATTAAAAATTATATTTGTTCGTAAAGTGAAAACGTGTGAATGTATGTTATACTTTCCGTAAAATACTGATTTTTTCCCTTAAACATTCTATGAATGTGTATCTCATTAGAATGAGGGGTTCTACATGTTTTTAATGGAAAGAAATATGTTAATAATTCAAACAAAATTATACAATTAAACACAATCTGGACCTTCTATATCATTTCTTTCTTTCTTTTCTAAAAAATATGATATTTTGTTTGAAGCTTGAGTCGGTGCTTTGGAACAAAAAATTGTGTTTAGCTTTACATTGACACTCATAAATAGACTAAATGAATCATCATTTTCATTTTTTTATTTGTTATAAAAATGATAAATCGGAAAAACTAATCGTTTCTTCTTTTTTTCAACTACGTACGTACATGTTTCCAGAACAACAATAAGAATGAGACTTTTTGTTAAATGCCGAGAAAAATTTCTAAATCGTATTTAAACATTTATCATCCTAGATATATTGAATAAACAAGAGGATACTTTCAACGTATATTTATTAATACATGTTTTAATTTTAATGCAAAACTGATGAAAATAACAGTAAGCGAACGTCAGAGTGACCTTAACTGTGATTCCGCAATTTCAAAAGAAGCCATGATAGACATATATTACGATAATGAAAAAATACGGTGTTCCGTTAGGGCCATTGTCGCACATGGTTACACATATGAACGTTATAAAAAGTATTGTATACGACATTTTTTTCGATAATGAAATCTCACAAGTACATTTGTCAAATGCGGAAATGCCTTACAGCAATTATTATTTTACAGTATTTCCCATCGAAATTTCGGCACTTTACAGTACTACATGTATATAAAAATGAAAAATTTGATCGTAGATTCGTAGATTTCATATCATTCATAGGCTTACCTCGTGTATGCCACACCTAGCAACGAGGGTACCATCCTGGGGTTCTGGAAGATCGTTTCCGAAGAGACAAGTGTAAATCCCAACTATAAATAAGAAAAATAGTTTGTAAAAAGTTTTGTGAATGAACTTTCCGAACAGAAGGAAATGATGTTGCGACATTGTATTAGTCTGAAATCGGCTCAGCGAAAATATAAACGGTTTATTGCTAACATATTGTTTAAATTCCAACAAAGCACACCAAAAAAATACATATTATAAACGGTCGGAAAACGGTCAGAAAAATATTAAATAACGATTTTTGTAGCGTGTTTTTTCCATTATTTACTAAGAATAATTTAATGGCAGTATATGTATTATACATATCCCTCTACAAATAATTGATAGACCTTTTTCACAAAATTATTCCCTCCGAAAATACAAATCAACTTTAATTGTTGGCACATGTTGGTTTTTGAAGGTTTTCTTTTAAATGTTTTAAACTACAGATTATGGAATCTTCAATCGGTATATAGCGTAAAAAAAATTATTACTTAGATAATTTACTTAAATAATTCATTCATTTGTTGCCCGTTATAAACGATAAAAAATAACAATACTAAAATTAAGAAAAAATAACTGAATAAATAAACATTTGCTTACCCACTGATTGAAGATACGGTGAGCTCAACAATACAAGTAAGACAAAAGTCGAGCTGGTTCCTGTAAATGTAAGCATTGTTTAATCAGGGTCTTTCTATAGCGCTCTTTTTATACCAATTCCAAGCGCCGCTCACACAACTTTTCAAGCGTCTTCGCTATTAAGATCCACAAAACCTTAAATAACGGTGCCGCAAATCAAAACGTCTCTAAAATGTTTCCAGATGTAGTTTACTTTTCTATTTCTAATAATTGTGTCTCTCTTAAATAAAATTTAAAAAAAAGCCTGACGACACGCTCTCTGCAGAAGTACTTTAATGACAGTAAACCCGTGGCAAAATAGCGGAAATCGTTAAGGACCGCTGAAGAAAGCCGTGAGATATGATTATGGAAACAGAATAGCAAAAGGGTAATAAATTAACACCAGTTAAAATAAAGGGCAGAGATCCCCGATTAAATATCGTACGTAACTCACGAGAAATTTAATTTATCATGTTTTGTTTCTATCGATACACCATAACACATACTTCGGTTGCTGGGCTACCCAACATTAAAAAGAACATTCGTTGATTTTTACAAAAACTTCTGAAAGATGCAGCTATCAATCAAGTGGACTGATAATCATCAGTATCTAGCGGGTGGGAGATAGATGTCTTTCATACTGGAGGGTCTTGTTTACATAAATCAGCGCTTGATTTCCAAAGCGACCAGAGATTATAAAACTTATGGCGACACACCCGTAAAAGGTGAATTATCCACACAATTTATCATGTTTGTAAACAAAATGTAAGCGATCGTTTTTTGTTTTTTTAACAGTTTTTTTGATGATGTTTTTTTGCGTTTTACAAAAGTAATACAAATGTACCGAATTCAATGCATAAACTTAACTGTTTTCTTCTTCTTTTTATTTTAGTATAGCCTGTTGTTTGTTGTCAGATAATAACTATTTTGATATTATGTGATGTGGGCGGGTCCCCGAGGGACGGATATTCCGATCCGAACCGCAAACAAATGTCAGATATTTTTTCTTGCATATTCTTCATATTTAAAATGGTTTACCTAAATGAGATATTTATTCATGGAAATGAATGTCATTTCATCCATATTTTTTTCTTACAATAGCGTATGAATTGACAACTTTAATAACAACGGCGAAATGACGTCATCCTAAGCGCACACAGACGCTTGGGGTCACATCATGCCCCCAACGTGACACGCCCCTGTAAACACTCTATCAAAACTATTTTAATAATTTAAACACAACTGTTACATCTATTACAACGATATAACTGGTTTTCAAAAAAAAAGTTTACATATGTGAAAAAAGAACCGTATACCATCAAGTCTCAATAAAAGTAAAAAAATGTATATTTTTTACCTCACCTATTTTGGCGAATTAATAATTGATCATTATATTGATAATATATAAATTTCTTCTGTTTGGTTACTTCACAAAATTACACATTTAAATGCATTTTCAAAATGTTCACGAAAATATGAATTGGATCTGGAGACGACCTGCTTTAACGAAAAAGTTAACCCTACGTCAGCGACGGTGTTATAGCAATATCTCTATATTGTAATTCTTTATCTTCATAAATTTCATCTAAAAGCAGTCTTGACCTATACATGTATCTAACATATTTAATTAATGCTATTATATTTCTGATTTTTTGACGATTATGATGCCAACTGCGACACTTATACAGATCCCCCCCCCCTACATTTTTTTTTTGGGGGGGGGGGGCGCTAAAATATTTCTATATGATATTTTTAATCAACCTAATGAAGATATGCTAAATGTATTGTAAATGTGTTTTACAGTGTCTGCTTTACCAGGTGGATTTACGTAGGATTCATTACCTAGATAAGTGGAGCGGTGGCCAAGTGGTTAAGGTGGTCGCCTCTCAACCCAGAGATCGTGGGTTCGAGCCCTACTCGGGTTACGACCATGTTTCTTCATATGACTCAAGTACTGGTTGGTTCCAGGAAGCGGACTCGAAAGTGATTACTATATAAGTTGCACGAACTTTTTTCGCAATCGAGCTTTAAATAAATATGTTTAAACCAACCTAGATGACCATTTCAATAACTGCATTTCTTAATTTCGTTGTCTCATTTAGGTAATTACTTTTAGATTATCATATCATAAATAGATAAATATTTATACACATAATATATATAATACAAAACAAAATTTGTTTAATACAAAGTCCCTGACTAAATTTGGGAACACACATGTTTTAACACTTCGTAAGTTTGCTTCCTTTCAGATATTCAGATATAAAATTGTGCTTAAGCCAATGGTATTGAGCACGAAAGGCACTCTGCGCCTATGACAGTTCAATGATAATTCTACGTCCAATATAGATTTGACAACTGTGTACCAGTCCAATAGAACTCAGTATTGTACCCAATAATATATTATAACTTCATAACATATATTAGACCATAAAATCTTGAAAACCTTAAAAGGCAATAAAAAGTAAGTATTTTTGAACCGCAGATTGTGTTGTTGTTGTTGTTTCCTTTCATTCTTTTTTCGTGCATCTTGTACCTATTGTGCAAGTTATCATTGTATATAAGATATGTGCAAAATGTTTCAATAAAATATTTCTTATATAAACTAATAAATTTTACTTCCTTTTTTTCGATAGTACGAGTTCATTTGAGTGCTAATCGTGTCTTTATCGGATTTGATTGGTTGGATTTCTGCAGCCCTGTACACACGATATATATATCATTAGTTTTAAACGCCTGCAAGCCCGGACGCTGCACACCATGCTAAATAATGTGTTCCTACGAGATAAAAAAAGAGAGCTCACCCATATTGAATTTTGTAATCTCTCCCTCAGTGCAATTGTTAAAGACTTACATGAAGGAAAGATAAGAACAATCACGTTCTATATAAGATATGCTTATTGATAATAAATGAATAACTCTTCAGTTCATTTTACAAAGTATGGTGTTCTTTTAGTGCCATAGCTCTGCGAGAAAAAAAAACTATCATAACATATATGTGTGACAAAGAGGCAATCATTATTACAAAAAATAAATGAATATTCAGTTTGTTTATATCAGATAATGAAAAGCAATATCATACTAAAATGATTTTATAAATTGTGTGTATTTGAGTTTAGTTATATTCGCCAGTCGCCACTGGTTGACCATATGGGCGAGTTCTTCAGAAGAGTATTAGTCATTTTAGTTTTCGGAGAATAGTTCAAGATACAGGTACAAAAAGATGTCTAAATCCCAGACGCTTCTTCTGGTTTCTTAGCGTGCCAAGTGCTAAAGCACTCATACAAGGGACCTCGATTTAAAAACTCATCCGAAGAATTGATTAGTAATTTTAGTAGGCCAGCCCGGGAATCGAACCAACAATGACGAGATTACAAATCGAGTGTGCTATGCCGGACTGTAACTTCCGAACTGTAGCAATGAAAGATTTTTATGGGATCATTGTTGTTTGACATTGATTGTGTCTTTGTATGACCATGATAGTGTTGTTATTTGACCTTGATATCATAATAGTGTTGTTATTTGACCTCGATGCCAGCAAAGTATTGTTGTTCGACCTTAAAAATTGATACCACGAAAGTATTTTTATTTGACCCTTATGCTAGCCGCTATCAAAGTGTTATTGTTTGACCTTGATGTCATGGACATGTTGTTATCTGACCTAAATGTCTTAAACATGCTGTAGAATGACCTAGATTTTATCTATGTCCTACCATGAAAATGCTGTTACTTGTTCATTTTTTGTGTAAAATTATAACTGAAGTATCAGTTTGCGGTACTTGACTGTGTAATTGATTATATATGAATAATTCCAGCGTGGCCGATAGGTTAACGCATCGAACTATTAATTTTAGGATTGCGGACCATGTGGGTTCAAACCCTAAAGTAGCAAACCGTTGTTTCCTTGAGCAGGAAGCTTCACATCCATTCCTTGCTTTGTACTAGTTGTTTTTAGGAACGGATCGAGTTAGTGTTTCAATAAGCGTATAGCATTCATCACAACCGACTAAAATAAATGTGTATGGCAAATTAAATCGCTAATCAAATGTATATCACATGGAAAATAAGTCCATTGAGTTAACTTTCTGATATGACAGGAGCTAGGACAAGTTTATTTACCATTCCTGATATCTATATTATTGACAACATGAGTGGAAGTCAATTTATCATCTCCTACATTGACAAAAATAAGTTTCAAAGTTACAGGAATGAAAGTCAGTTTACCATTCCGTAAATTTAAAGCGACAAAAGTGTATACAAAGACCGATAGGGCCATTTCAACTTCATGAATTCAACAAGTTCGTGAATTCACGAATTCAACTTCATAAAGTTGAAATCTTAAATTCGTGAAGTTGAAATCGTGAATTCATGAATTTGAAATTTTGAATTTACGAAGTTGAATTCGTGAAGTTGAAATCGTGAATTCAAGAAGTTGAAATCGTGAGTTCATGAAGTTTAAATCGTGAATTCGTGAAATTGAAATCGGGGAAATACATGACGTTGAAATCGGGAATTCATGAAGATGAAATCGGGAATTCGTGGAGTTGAAGTGTCCCCACCGGTCTTTCGTAAGTGTAAGCCCGTTTACCATCCTTTTAAGTTACAAGTTACAAGTGACAAGATTGGAAGTCCATTTGCTGTCTCTTACAAAGACGAGTTCCAAAGTTACAGGAGGGCAAGTCCGTTTATATCTCGTACAATGACAAAATGCAATTCCCCAATGTGACAGCAGGACACAAATAAACAAATGACATCCGGGCAAGTCCATGTACAATCCTTTCAATTTAAATGTTCGAATGTTACACCCGGACAAGTCTTATTCACCATCTTTTATATTGAGAAAGTCAGTTTTCAAAATGACAGCCCATTTACCACCTCTTACATTGAGAAAGCTATTTCCGAAGTGACAAGTTCAAACTGAAGTTCCCACCCTTGTGCATTTCTAATGCACTAGAATTGAACGCACTTCTAGTGCACAAAACCAAATGAGTGGACATGGTGACATTTTATTGCTGCAAGTCCATTTACAATCCCTTTCTCTATAATTTAATGTATTAATGTTACACGAGGAAAAGTAAGTCCATTTACCGCATCTTACATTGACAGTTATGTTCCAATATGATGGAGGGCCATTCAATTTACCGCCTCTTACATTGACAAAGTTATATTCCAATATGACAGAGGGCCATTCCATTTACCAAATGAGTGGACATGGTGACATTTTATTGCTGCAAGTCCATTTACAATCCTTTTCTCTATAATTTAATGTTTCAATGTAACACGAGGAAAAGTAAGTCCATTTACCGGATCTTACATTGACAATTTTACGTTCAAATATGACGGAGGGCCATTCCATTTACCGCCTCTTAAATTGACGAAGTTATGTTCCAATATGACGGAGGGCCATTCCATTTACCGCCTCTTACATTGACATGTATGTTCCAATATGACGGAGGGCAATTCCATTTATAAACATGACAAGGTGAGCTATCTATTTGCAGTAATTAGAAATGGAACAAGAGGGCCATGGTGGCCCTGAAATCGCACACCTACATATAAAAATCTCTGACAAGGAACAATCAATATTGTAAACTTTAAACAAAAGCAGATATAAAACTGATATCACAAAGTTCATATTTCTATCTGAAATGGTGCATGTGTAAACACATAAGTTTTTAATACATACATAAAAGGTAAATCAATGACCCTGGGGCGGGGCCAATTTTAACCGCAGCGCTTTTATTTGAACAACTTGGTAGACACCAATTTGAAGACGATTCTAGCTAAATATCTAAGCTCTGGCTCTTTAAAAAGAAGATTTTTTCAAGTTTTTACTACAAACATAACAAGAGCACCGCTAGGCGGAGCATAATATGCCCGAAAGTGTGTTTTTTTTTTTGTAAGGATGAAGCATTTGTAAGACATGGGAATTAGCTGTTCATCCTATAAATTTTACAGATGTAGGTTGATTAATACTTAAGTTATTAATAATGACCTTAACCTTTGACCTTGTGACCCTAAAATCAATAGGGGTCTTCTACCTTATATGGACAATCATCCTAAGGAGTTTGAATATTGTGGGCCAAATGGAACTTAAGTTATGCTCCGGAAACTGTTTTCAATTTTAAGGTGATAGTGACCTTGACCTTTGACCTTTTGACCCCAAAATCAATAGGGGTCTTCTACCCAATATGGACAATCATCCTATGAAGTTTGAACATTGTCGGTCAAATGGAACTTAAGTTATGCTCCAGAAACTGTTTTCAGTATCAAGGTAATAGTGACCTTTGACCTTTTGACCCAAAATCAATAGGGGTCTTCTACCCAATATGGACAATCATGCTATGAAGTTTGAACATTGTGGGCCAAATGGAACTTAAGTTATGCTCCGGAAACCAAATTGCTAACGGACAAATTGCTAACGGACGGAAACTGTTTTCAGTATCAAGGTAATAGTGACCTTGACCTTTGACCCCAAAATCAATAGGGGTCTTCTACCCAATATGGACAATCATCCTATGAAGTTTGAACATTGTGGGTCAAATGGAACTTAAGCTATCCTCCGGAAACTGTTTTCAGTTTAAAGGTAATAGTGACCTTGACCTTTGACCTTTTGACCCCAAAATCAATAGGGTTCTTTTACCCAATATGGACAATCATCCTATGAAGTTTGAACATTGTGGGCCAAATGGAACTTAAGTTATGCTCCGGAAACCAAATTGCTAACGGACAAATTGCTAACGGACGGAAACTGTTTTCAGTATCAAGGTAATAGTGACCTTGACCTTTGACCCCAAAATCAATAGGGGTCTTCTACCCAATATGGACAATCATCCTATGAAGTTTGAACATTGTCGGTCAAATGGAACTTAAGTTATGCTCCGGAAACTGTTTACAGTTTTAAGGTAATAGTGACCTTGACCTTTGACCTTTTGACCCCAAAATCAATAGGGGTCTTCTACCCAATATGGACAATCATCCTATGAAGTTTGAACATTGTGGGCCAAATGGAACTTAAATTATGCTCCGGAAACCAAATTGCTAACGGACAAATTGCTAACGGACGGAAACTGTTTTCAGTATCAAGGTAATAGTGACCTTGACCCCAAAATCAATAGGGGTCTTCCACCCAATATGGACAATCATCCTATGAAGTTTGAACATTGTGGGTCACATGGAACTTAAGTTATGCTCCAGAAACTTTTTACAGTTTTAAGGTAATAGTGACCTTGACCTTTGACCTTTTGACCCCAAAATCAATAGGGGTCTACTACCCAATATGGACAATCATCCTATGAAGTTTGAACATTGTGGGCCAAATGGAACTTAAGTTATGCTCCGGAAACCAAATTGCTAACAGACAAATTGCTCACGGACGGAAACTGTTTTCAGTATCAAGGTTATAGTGACCTTGACCTTTGACCTTTTGACCCCAAAATCAATAGGGGTCTTCTACCCAATATGAACAATCATCCTATGAAGTTTGAACATTGTGGGTCAACTGGAACTTAAGTTATGCTCCGGAAACTGTTTTCAGTTTTAAGGTAATAGTGACCTTGACCTTTGACCTTTTGACCCCAAAATCAATAGGGGTCTTCTACCCAATATGGACAATCATCCTATGAAGTTTGAACATTGTGGGCCAAATGGAACTTAAGTTATGCTCCGGAAACCAAATTGCTAACGGACAAATTGCTAACGGACAGAAACTGTTTTCAGTATCAAGGTAATAGTGACCTTAACCTTTGACCTTTTGACCCCAAAATCAATAGGGATCTTCTACCCAATATGGAAAATCATTCTATGAAGTTTGAACATTGTGGGTCAAATGGGACTTAAGTTATGCTCGGAAACCAAATTGCTAACGGACGGACGGACGGACGCCAGGGGGTATAACATGCAGATGTTTCATGCTAAATATCTAAGCTCTAGCTCTTTGGGTTTTTAAAAGAAGAATTTTTAATTTTTTTCTTTCTGTTGCCATGGCAACCAGAGTTCTGCATGGAATTAAATTCTTTGAAAAATTTTTAAAGTCGACAACCAAAGGAACATTCCTGTGAAGTTTGGATGAAATTAGCTAAGTGGTTTATGAGGAGATGTGGTTTAAATTAAAAGTTACTAGACGCCAGACGAAAAGCATCACAGAAGCTCAACTTGTCACTTCCTGACAGATATGTTAATAAATCTGCTTTGATAAAATTTTTCCAAAAGGGTAGTAAGGGGAGGCCGGTGTGTCAGGGAAACATGGAAAACATAAACTAATTAATCAGTTGTCATAAATTGTTTATTAACGTATCACTTAACATAAGATTTTAAGATTATTATAAGAAAATACACACAACAAAAAAACATTACAATTTTGTTCATTAACAACACATGATTAGAGCACAAAATAAAGTTGTCTATCAAAAACATATGACTTACCATCCAACAATAGGAAAAGGAAAAGAAAAGAATATCTTTTAAAATCAAAATATGAAAAGATTTCCAATGTAATGTACAATATAGTTACTTGTTTAACATGATTGCTTCATTTTTCACCAGCAATAGAATAAAATTCTTTATTGCGAGCTGATAAGCAGCTTTACAGTATATCGCGACTACCTGCTAGATAGTGATGGTTTTAAAAACTTTTGTCGGAAGTGGGAAATTGACAAATCGTTTGACACTTTTCAAATTACAAGATTACGACAAAAGCTGAGGAATTCTGATTGAAAACGGATGCGTAGACTGGTCTCCTGCCAGTTCTACGGGGCCCATAATAGGACAGGGAACCAGAATAAACGGAAGCAGTGTATAAAAACAGAATGACAGTTTTAAAATGGAAAATGTAAAATAAAATCTGTAGATACAAACTTACTTTTTCCTTTATAGCTTCACTGTGCACTACATGGCACAAAAGATAAGTCAACCTGCTTTGCTTATTTTCCAAGCTGTAACTGTAAAGGTTTGATTGTACCTACGTTAATAGCTGGGAAAACCCAAAATATTCTTAATTCCGGAATAAGTCTATTGACAGGGGAAATAGTTACCTCCCCTGCCTTGATTTTTTTTTTCAGTTCATTTGACCTGATAATAAAATTTATTTGACCTCAATCAAAATTTTAATAACCAAATATTTCTTTGTAAGTTTGCTTAGATTGTGTTTATAAAAGAATGAAAGTGTATAAAAACATTACAGTTTATATGTCAAAGAAATACTGTTTTATGACTGACTATTTAAAGTACCTATCTAATAAATGAGATCATTCCATAAATCATTCAAGGCCTGTTTCCATGGCAACTATTTAAAACACTGTTACTGTGTAGATTCCATAAAGATCTTTTTGATATGCTGCTGTAACAAATAATTAAACCACCATAACTATGGAAATACAATCATTTCTTTTTACAATTTCCAAAACTTTTGTTGCTAAAATAGTAGGGTATACCTTTAATTAAATGAGATTCATATTTTTTCAATGGACTTTTGCTCAACATTTTCATACACATTTCCACCATGAGTTATCACATAATATCATGGTTACAATTGTAATCATTCAAAACTATATTGCTATGGAGATTCATAAATTTCTATGGTCTTTTACATAACATGTTCCCATGAATTACCTATTTCCATGCACTGTCATACATAATGTTCCTATAAATCAAATCTTTCCATAGAATCTGATGTTCATACACAATGTTTATACATATTAACTTTTTTCATTGAACTGTAAAACAAAGTGGTTCTGTAAAATATCTATTTCCATGGACTTTCATACATATTGTTCCATTTAATCAACTTTTCCATGGACTTTCATATAATGTTCCAATCAATTAACAATTTCCATGGACTTTCATATATAATATTCTAATCAATTTACTTTTTCCATGGACTTTCACATAAAATCTTCCTTTAAATTAACTTTTGCCATGGACTTTCATATATAATATTCTAATCAATAACTTTTTTTCCATGGACTTTCATACACTTTGTTCCAATGAATTATCATCATCAACACATCATATTTTCTGGAGATTCATTTTTTCAAACCATGTCACTGAATTAGTTAAAGAAAACCACATTGCTTTTGTCACCACTATTTCATAGTCTTACATACAATGTTCCATGGTTTTTATATAGGTGCAGCCGGTAGGACTTTGCCGGAACAGGTCCCGAATCCAACCCTGTAGCCATTCGCTTCACCATAGCCTGTAAAAATAGGATGAAAATTAAATTGCATACATCTTAAAGTTTGTGTCAATTTTGCAGTCTGTGTAATTACCTGCAACGTGGGGATTCAATCCCATCCATGATTCAGACCTTACTATTCACTAATCGAACCACTTACCATCTAATTGTTTACAAGAAATTATAAAGAAGCTGAAATAAGTTATTCAATAATTTTTATACATTAATAATGAAAGAGTTATTAAAATGTTTTTAATAATATACTATGTGAACTGCAATCCAGCGATTTTAGGACTTACAAATACCCTAACCATATGATCAAGGTTTTACTGATATTCAGGAATATACAAGTTTCAGAGTAATTCACTACAGGCCTATTTTTTAAATGACTTTATGTATTATGTATTCTTTTATAAAGGTGCAGTAGCGTTTTACACCATACAATTAATCCCCCCAAAAGATAGTCCCCTGTAAGCTTCCCACCACAAGATTGGTCCCAATAACCCTCCCAACAAAAAGATGTCCTACCATCCCTCCCCACGAAATCTCCACCATCCTATACCACAAGATGGGCCTCATTACTTTTACAGTTTTCCCCCACAAGATGGGCCTCTCCACCTTTCCCCATAAGATGAAAATGAACCCTGCCACATTGCCCAAAAATATGAGCCCCACAACCCTTTTCCCAAAATGTGAATTAAACATAGGTAAGACTTTTTTGCTATTAAGTTTATACAATTTTTTTCCGCTTGATTGTGTTGCAAGCTATACTTTTTAATTCTATTCCTGGAACAAACCACCAATACTAAGCAATGAATGTAAAGTTCCTTGCTCAAGGAAACAACGGGTAGCACCTGACAGGGTTTGAACCCATGTGGTCAGCAAGTCTGGCCCTTCAACCACTTGGCCACACCGCTATTTTTATGCTATTTACCAACCTGTCATGATGACCTCATCTCCGTCTTGCAGGAACTTTCTCGTCACGCCGTCACCAAGGTCAATAGGTTTGGTCCCTTTCCAACACAATTCTAACATACTACCATAGGAATCCTCTGTCTGTTAAATGTATGTGTATAATAAATGTAATATGTAGTTATAATATGTAATAAAATGTTGATTATATAACATCTTGTACCATTAATGTTTCCAACATTATATATGATAAAAGAATGGTATTTACCTGCTTAATTCTACCCATATATACAATATACATTCAACAAAACATTGTTTAAATTAAATATGCAATATTACTATTGAAAAAATAAAATATTTATACAAGAATGTTTGGCACTTCTTTTTTTAAAATAATAAAATAACTTTCTCTTGACAGGAAACATATTTATCTCCCCTGATATAAGTCCAGGTGGCTAGATATACATAGTTACCTCCCTTGACATAGATTCCAGTGACTAGGACATATTACACATTTACTGCCCTTGATGTAGTTCAATATTCCACACTTATCTCCCTGGATAAAGTTTAAGGTGGATTCCTATGATTCATATTACGCACTAACTTACTTTCCTTGATGTTTCTAATATGATCCTTTTCCAGATTTTTATCCTAATGAGTTTAATAGATATTTAAGGGATGATAAATATTGCAGACTTACCTCCCCTGATATTGTACCAGAGCCCATTAAGTCCCCTGGATTGATATTGCAGCCTGTAACAGTGTGATGGGCAAGTTGTTGTTTCATTGTCCAGTACATGTATTTAAAATTACTGCGGCATAAAGTTTTAGGGGTAGACAAACTGTCACCTGGGATAAACAATAATAGCTAAACAATACATTGAATGTTTTGAAAATTCCAAAATTTACTATCATTGAGTTCAAAGGTAACAATGTTTAAAAGCAAACAAACAAACATAAAATTTATTGACTGCCACCAGCCCATACCAACATGTACATTTCACAATATTAACAGTTCATGTGAGCATTATATTCAACAAATGATTATGAAACATATTCACTATGTATAGATAAGACTGAAATAAATAGCTTAGGCAATACAATTATCAAACAATTTCAATTTATCTGAATTAAAATATCAGAACCAGTCAAAGTTACACTTACATTTCAGAGATACTTCTAGATTGATGTCAAAATTAAAATCATCCTCGTGTGTAAGGTAAGGTAGAGGTTTTGGGTCTTGTTCCATGTTTTTCACAACAAAAGGCTTTAGAGCATCCATTGTAACCACCCATGGAGATACCGTTGTCCCAAAGTTTTTACCTAGGAATGGCCCAAGGGGCACATACTCCCATTTCTGTATATCTCTAGCTAGAAATTAAATATTCATGCATTGAAAAAAATCAACTTCATAAAAACTGCAGAGTAAAAAATATTTTAGGTTGGGTTTTACATTGGGCCAACATTTCAAAGATCATACAGTGACTTTCAAGCTTCACTGGTCAAGGAAGACGTCAGGTGCCACTCCTTGTATTATTTTAGGTCAAACAGGTAGAAACACTGATGCTCTGTAAACTAGCTGGATAGCTCCCTCACATGAAAGAATCAATTCAAAGTCCTTGGTGAGATTTGAGCACACAGCAGTGACAGGCAAGTGGATTAAAGGACTTTAATCACTCGGCCATGTAGGCCCCCTGCAGAGAGTGAAGGAGTGCAATGTACCTTACGTTTGAACATCACTGTATTTCTAAAACAGTGCAAGAAAACCATCACACAAGTTACAAGTACTAACACTTTTGTATTCTTCAATTATGTGAAGTAGAATAAAGTGAGTATGAAAAAGGAATGAAAAGAGAGCAACACGTCTAATAAATCAATTCATTTTCCAAGACATCAGGACTGTTTTAACAGCTTAATTATATAGCTAAATTTTAACAGTGTTCATTACAGCATGCACATTCACAATTCAGGACCCTGGATCATTTCAAAAGACTGGCAGATAAAATAACACTGGAATTTAACTACGAGCTCAACATAAAAGCAGAGATAAGGACATAATGTAACAGTTTCGAACTAACACCCTTAACCTGTTGGAACCGGAAGTGAGAAGCCTTTGCCACCAGAACCCCACTTTAAATACAAAGACACATATCGTACCTGACCAGTCATTCATTAAGACCATTCCAAATATATAATCTTCTGCCTTCTCTATGGGCACAGTTTCTCCTAGTTTGGTCGCTGGGCCGGTGAAGAATGCCATCTCAAGTTCAAAATCCAGTAATTTACAACTTGTAAATTGTGGTGGCTTAGCTGAAATAGATTGATGGACAATGAATCAAACTGCAGTTAGTGATTATAAGGTATAACAATTGCAAATTTCTGCCTAGCAGCATTCTATAAAACAATACAGTGGAACTCACAGCGATCTCAAATACAGTATTCACTTGGTTATAGGAATCACTTGCTAGGTGACCTGATTTTTTCCCTTCTTTATCTTGCCAAAATTCTTTGTTTATAGCGTACTTGCAGGCTGTCCAAAACCTTTTGACAAAAAATTAGGGCAATTTTTAGGGCAATATTTGAGAAATTTTAGGGCTAAAATAAGAAATTAAAGAGATGCTGGACAGCCTGTACTAGCTTATAGCATATCCACCAACCATTAACCACAGTTATCTACAGGGTTCCCACACTTTTCTTAGATTGAAATTCAAGGACTTTTCCAGGGCTTTCAAGGACTTTATCAGCACAATCCAAATTTTTTTGTCTCCCATTGGAGCACAGTCTGTTACCATATCCATGGTGACAGTGTTGCATCTAGAATTTCAAAATTATGGGGGATTGTCCCCCACTCAATTGAAAAATGTGGGGGATTTGAAAAAAATGTGGGGGACATACTTTTACCTTACAATATGACATACCGAAAAGAATTCATTTATTTTACGTTCAGGCATTTTTGACAGTTATTGTCCGCTCAAAACCGGAAGTAGAAAAAATAAAATATTGACGAATACTACAAAACACATGCGAGATGACTCAGTCGGCTGCTACACGCGATTTAGTACGTATTTTAGTCATAACCACGAGTGAAAACAAACATGGCTGAAGCGTTTAAGATACGATGAAGATAAACTGAATTAAGTTGAAAAGATCATCAGATGCGCGACTTGGCGCGCACTGACTTCATTAAAATGCGCGATCTGCATAAAAAGTGCGCAAATCGCGCAATCGCGCGGCCTAGATGCAACACTGTGGTGAATATGAATCTACACTGTGATTGGTTAATACTTACATGTGGTAAATACATCATTCATTATATCATTAATAACGTAATTATAGTTAGAGGTGAATTTCATATTTTGTGCTTGACGGAAAACCCTGAGCTGAAAACTTCCTATATAACAAAGTTTAAACTTACTATCATCAGGTCTAGTCTGGCCGTTTGGGCGCTGGATTGGTGTACCTGATACAACAACAGAAGAAGCCCTGCCATGGTAACCCACCGGGATATGTGTCCTGAAGTGAAAATGTACCATACATATAAACAGGCAAATTTGTTGATTTGGTATCCCCCCCCCCCACCATTATAATTACACAAAATCATTAGATTAAAGCTTCTTAGTATTAAATACATTGGAATACTAAGAAAAATGAATTCTAAATCTTTATTCCTAATGACCCAAAACCTTAAAAAAAAATGAGCTGTAAGTTTTGATTGAGATTAAAAAAGGATTGGATCACCACACCAAATACCATGTTCAAGTATATACTGGATAAAGCACTTGAATGATAAAATCATAAAATCACGCCTAAGCCCTTTTCTCCCAACGGAATCAACTTTAAAAGTTCTAATTCATTTCTACACACCGATTTCTATATACATGTAGTAATGAATGAAAAAATGAAAGAGTTGGCAATAAAAAAAAAAAATATTTAACTATTTTCTGATGATTTCTGCAAGCGCCTAGAGGTCCTGCTCCAATCTTGTATTGAGTTAAATCCCTAAGATTTTCAATAAGCTAACTCTGATAAAGACTGCAGGTAACCCCCCCCCTCCCCCACACCCCCCCCCCCCCTATGAACCTATATATCAATGTGTTAGTAGCTTTAAACGCCCAATAAGCCACCAAAATACTAAATTTTTATCATTTTTCAAACTCTTTTTATTTTTAGTGTCCTCTTCCAGAAAAAGTACTCCTTAGAAATATAGCTGAACCAGTTTTTGAATATTTACTTATAGGTCATTAGCATAGTTGTAGTGCTTCATTATTTTGTATGATAAGTCAAAATACCACTTTGTTTACATTTCACTACCTTTATGACAAATTCTTTCATATTCAGGGCAACAAACATCCAGTGCTAAGCATCTATTATGCTTTTATTAAGCTATTATCAAAATATTACTACATGTGAAAACACATGTTTGTCTCTTTAAAAATATTTTTCTTTTAAAACGGCCTTTTGGAAGTACTCTTTTTCAAATTTCACACGATAATTTGCTACAGATATATGCATGAAGCTTGATACGCTTTAAATAAATCAAAACTGGAAACTTACCAGTTGGGCATCAAAGCGTTATCTTTTCCACGGAACATCACCCCGACGTTAAAGGCGTGATTCTTCGATGAATAAAAGTCTGTATAATCTCCAATCTTGGCGGGCATGTGCATGACAGCTTCTGTCTGCGAGACAAATGCTCTGTAATATAGGAAAATTATAATTAGTTGATAAGTTTGTTAAGAGTTATTGCCCTTTGTTACATACACCCAGTATCTTGTGAAATGACAAAATACCTACTTCAGTCCAAATATTCTTGATACTGTTAAACAATTTCATCATTTGGTGTATTCATCATCTCCCACCCTGACTACTTTGTCTGTTTCATAGTTATACTATTGAGTGGTGTTAACAAAGTTAGTACAGTGAAATTTGAGAAAACCGGACGCTGAGAAAATCGGAACTCTCTAAATACCGGACGAATAATTCAGTCCCAAATTTTCCCTTCTTTAAACTATTGTATTAAACATTGACAATACCGGAATCTGTGAAAACCGAATATCGGACGGTTGAAAGGGGACTACAAAGTCAATTATATAGACAATTACCCTGACAATACCGGACGACGAAGGTGTGAATAACCTTGTGTACTTATCAATTGGTTGTGTCTAATACGCTAACTGACCGGTAACAGAACAATTATTGTCTGATTTGTTAATTATGTCTCTTTTCACAGTTTGATTTATTGAAAGGTATAGATGCTACCGTTTTATATAAATGCCAAAATGCACGAGGAATTGATAAGTTAAAATCAGTATGAATGAGTATTATTATACTGCGTTGCTTTTTGTATATTAATTTCCCAAAATGACAACGAATCGAAACGAAATTTATCATTTATCAGTTCTATCCCATGGCCTAAAATAATTTGACGAGAGCTGTCTATAAGTGACAAATTTAAATTAATTAAAGACAGTGAAACTTTGCCGAGACCTACTTTAAAAATCTTTATCTGACAAATATGGTATAGGCAATATTTACAATTGGGGCATTATTATAAACAAAGTAAACTATGTTCGTTAAATCATTATCCATTACCCAAACATATGCGGGTGTAATCGGACTTTGTCATTATGAGGTAACTGTTGTTTGTTTAAATCCAAAAATGTTTTGTATTTATATGCAATAATGGGACAAAAACAACGAGAACATTTTGTATAGTATTTTTATCATTTCTTTATTTGGCAATACATCCTTTGTAAGTCATTGCTCGGTTTATAGGATCCTGAACAGGTGAAGGGGGCATTGAGAATACCGGACCGCTGAGAAAACCGGACAAAACCCTCGGTCCGAAAGCCGCTCCTGTTTTCTCAACTTTCACTGTATCAAATTTGAGTACATGTTTGTTACAAGTGACAAGGTATGATTAGGACAAAATACATTTCACAAATAAAGTGAGCTTTAAATGATTATATTATAAACAAATATCTAAGCAGTCAAAAATTTTGTTTTTAATTGAAAATGGATCATATGCATTTTTTTTTTCTTTTTAAACACTTCATAATATTTTCTGGTAGGTTGAAAGCCTTATTGAAATTGTAGATGACATAATTACTACTTTCAAATTTCACTTCTGGATAAAAAAGCTCAGATACTCGTTTGGTTAAAATGGCTACTTTTGTAGATTAAAATATCTTCTCTTCTGCAAGCTATTTCTTCTAATGAAGAACCAAGGCTTATCTGCATTAAAACAATTAACATGAGATGCACAAATCTCTTGTTAACCAAGACCGTACATGTCTAAATCCTGTATACAGCGACTGTTTGTAGAACCGTTAAATAGTTGGTTAGAAAATGTGCCGATACCTGCACAGTGCCGATACCTGCACAGTGCCGATACCTGCACAGAATCGGTTAGCAATTTATACATACCCACAGTTACCAGAAATAAATAATTTTCAGATACTCAAACAATAATTGCTAATTGAAACCGAATAGCCCTAATAATTGGAGAAATAACTTAATGAATAAGACATCCAATTAAGGTAGATTATGACTGTGTCATAGAAAGCCCGCTTAGCAAATTTCATTGTGTCATTCGTGTAATTATTGCTATTATTGGTAACACTGCTACTAAGCATTAAGTTTGCCTTAGCCCCAAGTCTTACCTTTGCCTGAGTGCAGCATTATCCCGGAGTATGGGCTCATTAGCTGACAACATCTTCTGTATGGTTTCTCTAGCCTCCGTCCAGGCTGCACGACCCAATCCCATTAAGGCATTTAAAGTGCTCTGAAGTTTAAACAATATAAACTTTCCTTCAACTTTTTTCATTTCAGACTATTGAGAAACAAAAAATAATATAGAGTCATGCTGTAGTGAGTATTCTTTGACCTATAATTATGACAGATAAGACATGTCTTAAGTTCTTAATTAATACCTGAATTAGCTAACAAGAAATAAAGTTGCATTTTAAATTATTAAAACCCAACTTAAATGTAAGTGTTCAACCTTAGCAAATGCATCTAAGGCAAGTTAATTTCACTATATAATAAAAGAAAACAACTTAACCAGGGCTTTTTTTACGGGCTGGGGAAGCAGCCATTTCCCTTATTTTGGGAGCTCAATGGACTCATAAAAATGTGACAAGGCAATAGGGCTGTGCATTGCCATTTTTTTCTGTCACGATACATATCACGATACATGTTTTTCAAAAGGATGCGATTCACGATATGTATTGCATACTTTGAAGAAATGCGATGCATATTGCAATACTTATGTTGCGATGCGATATGTATCACAATACTGACTTTTAGACTTAGTACATTAAATAATGCCATTTGTTTACAGCATAATTACGAATATAATATAAAACTATTACAATAACAAAAACAATAAACTCTTTAACTTGTTGTTATAACTTGGTTTTCGATTTTGATCTTTCAGCAATTTACTTTTCTGATTACTTAATGAGTAAAGGTATTGTTAATTATACCATAACAGCAAATTAATATCTACTATTCTAACAATAAAGTCCTCTACTGTAATTATGGCAGTTTGACAATAGTAGTCTTACAATACAACACTGAAAATTTTTTTTGTGAAAAAATAGTAACAAGTGATTTACAATTAGCTCAACAACTGTGAAAATAACAGTTTATCAGTTACACTATCATTTTTCTCGAAAGATTTGTGCTCGACCCCAGTGTATTTTATTTTGAGTTTGCAAATTTTGCAAACACTCCACGTCCGGTCTTCCACATTATACAACACTGTCTGATGGTTCCCCAAAAACTACAATGTTCCCAAAACTCTTGAATTATATGACCAGGGAGAATTAGCTATAGTTTCGCCTTCTAAATATTTTGCAGTCTACATATTTTCTGTTTGTTTGTTTTGGGTTTTTTTACGGGATAATGATGTCAACGGAAATGAAAGTATAAATATGTGACGAATATCATATGGGAATGTTGTCATCATCACTATTTTAAATTACAAATGTTTGTAGGTTGTTTTTCTTGAAAACGCATAGATCTCTTATTATTTTTTTATTATAAACAAGTTCAAAGAACACCACCTCGTTTATATGGAATTGATAAAACTTGGTTAGTTACCGTTAAACGATTGCGGACATGGGGAAACGAGATGACAACGATGATATGATAATAGTCGCGCTTGTTCATTGTTTTTATCTGAGCTATTTTTCTTTCTTTAGTCTTTCAAAAAATACATTTGTCCTTATATTCCTGGAAAATATTGTTAGTGTATTGCAATATTTCCCGCTATATCGATACATCGGGAGGTGAAATATGTATTGTATCGCAATAAATTGTAATTTTTAATTTCATTACGATGCATACATCAGGACAAGGCAGATCGCGATGCATCAATGAATCGTTACACCTCTACAAGGCAAGAAAATGAGAAAAGGAAAAGATTTTCAACAGCTAAATAAATGACACATAATTTTTCATAACAAAGAAATATTCATTATTACTTACTTCCTCAAAAACATTTTGCTGGCTAGCCAGTACTGGTCCTTCAAACAATGTTTTAACAACACTAAGGTCAAGAATTTGGTCTCCAATTGCGACACCAATGCGGGGCTTTGGCTGGAAAAAAAACCAACAATAACAATGATTATATAAGTTCAACAAATTAGTAATGTTAGGTCCATAAAATCAGTATATTTGACAAAGTATGTAAAGGCAAATGACAGCAAGAGCCAAAACATCTTGTTCAATGGCTAAATATTTCATATTTCATGGAAGTGGTGGGATGGTCGAGTGGCATGGCATGGAAGCGGCAGCATGGCTGAGTCATAAACGCGCCAGACTAGTAATCTAATGATCCCTAGCTACATGGGTTAAAACCCCGTCTGGGGCAAGTTGTTCTTTCCTTGAGCAAGAAACTTTACACTCATAGCTAAGGACAGGTTGGTTCCAGGAACAGATTTGAAAGTGTGCTTATAAGCTTACAGCTTCCTACATAATTGAACTAAAATAAATTCTGTATAAACCAAATATTTCATAAATAAATGACTTTGTATCACATTGATACAAAAGTAAAGAAATTCAGGCTTAGATCAACTTAGGGACTAGACTAAAAGCCCACACTCAACACGCTCAAAGTTTAAGGGGTTTTTTTAGCTGATGTTTAAATAATTTTGCATGTTTACAGTTAATTCTTTTCATAGACTTCTATCCAAGGGAATTCTTACTGTATCATTTACAATTGTACAACATTTTGATACTATATACTGTCATACAATTGAGTAGGTTGATTGCTGCATCAAGCTTTCCCCAGTTAAATACCAATTGTATAACTTGTATATATAAATAACTGTGATGTAAAAATTAGCGAAAATGTTATGTCAATTCAGTAGGGCTGTCAATGATGGACAATTTTGTATCGATACATCAATAGCTGAATATCAACCAAATAGCACTACATATACATCTAAGTCAATAGCTTGTTCACTTGAATATGTGTTCTAAACGGTTATCATGGTGTATGCAAGCATGTTTTAAACCTCACAAACACAGAAGAATGTTTTCTTCTCATCATATCTCACAGACAACTGAGAATTCAATGCAGAGTTTAAACTAGGCAAGAAAATGGGAGAAAAGTGAATTTCACTTTAATCAAAGTGGATTGATTAATCAAAGTTGATTGATATTTTCACATGACATGAATGAATGGATTTTAAAGTTTACCTACAATTATATGATTATACAGCCTTACAATTCGGCATGCTCACTCCTATAATATGTTTAAACTGGAACTTTTGTTCTCAACTTCTGCCTGGCCTGTTGCATCAAAACAATTCCAATAAGCATGAGGATAATTAATTTGGTAACTTATTTCAATAATTTTTAGTTGTTTTGTGCTGACATTTTATTTTATTAATATTTAAGTATTTGGACATTTTTTTGTGCATTTAAGCAAATACATGTACGCAGCTTATCTGGAGATCTATATTAAATGACAGCCATATTAGCAAAAATATTTAGTGTCCATCTTGTAATAGGAAAGTCTAGAGCTCAAAACACAATGCCGGAGGATTTTTCAGGTTCACAAGACTGGTAAAGCACTACATGTACCTGCAAAAAAAGACCGAATGTTTGAATGGGGAGACATGGACTGCAACCATCTACAGGAAGCCAAAAAAAAAGAAAGTTTACCAGACCAGACAGTATATTAGTATGTGTACCATAGTGTCAAACATTGCTATCTTCAAGTCTGAACTTTCAACACTGAACATTGTACTTATATAGAAATAACAGATTCAGGGAATAGAATAAGCATCTTCTCATATACATGTTATATCATGCTCCATCACTTGTTTCATTTCTCACTCAAATGACAGATTTTATATCATGCATTTTTTTTTGAGGGTGTGAACACGAGACTGATTTTGATTGGATAAAAAATGACCTTGACAAAACTACATACTATTTTTGTTTCTCATTAAAACAAAATTGAATATTTAAATTTTCTACAACATTTGATGCATTAAACAAAAAAGATATTTAAAAGCGTATTAAGGAAATGAAAACCTGAAAAATATGCCCTAATATTAAATAAGTAACATATTTTCGCGATGCCGCATAAGGCTAGAAAAATTATCGCAAGATCTTGAATAAAGTACGGAATGTCATGCTAACTTACGTTACTAGTCGTTGAGAACACACCATATGGAAGGTTCTGGATTGGGAAATGACTTTCTGGTGTCACGTTAATAAACGACATTTTCAATTTTCTTGTGAGATTTTTTTACAAATATTCAGGTTGGAAAAGGATCCGTCAGACGCCGTACCTCAAACAATGCGGGATATCTGCAATTGTAGGTTACACATCACTATGTCATTCCCTTCTTCATAAATTATGTTTCTATTTTGAAAAATGGCAACAGGCGAGTTGTTGATTATTTAATAATTTATGTGTGCCTATGAATGGCAAGATAAATTAAAAGATTTTCCCTATTTTTCTTAAACAATTTTAGCATATAAAAATTTGAACCACATAACTTTCCGCTAAAATATGCTGTCAATCATTTCATAAACAATTATTAAGTGATTGAATGCTAAGACAAATTCATGCTCCATTTTTGACTGTTTAGATAATAAACAATTTAGATAAGAGGTAATTAGGTTGTGAAAATTCTCACTAGACTATAAAGTGTTCTGTTTTGAATACATATACATGCTGTATATAGCTTTATATTACTTTAAGCTCATCCATTTTTATCTCTAACTGTCCTTGTCTTACTATTTTAATATAAACATTAATCTTCAGAATATGTGGCCCGTTTTATAAATCTGTTTTCAACAAGTAACTGGATTGCAGGCTTTATATCTATGAATTTAAGAATATATTAATACATCTTACATGTATTTATTTACCCAAATCTTTTTCTGGCTTATGGCAAACATTTTTTTTTATTGGAGATCATTTGATGCTGTTCATGGAATGACGCATTGCATTGGAGATGTCACCATCACACAAATTCTCAATTGTATCATTATAGAAAGAAATACAATGTACAGCTATAATCTATTGGAACACGACTACCCAACACTACATCCTAATTCAAATTACAATCTGGTATACAATAAACTAGCTATTAACATTTATGAATAGTCAACACTACAACCTAAGAACTACATTCTGATCAACATTACCACCGGTCATCACTACAGCCTAATCAAAACTACAGCTTGATCAATTGTACTAACAGATCAACGCTTTAAGTATTACATGTTAAAATGTCTACTGCCTGATAACACTTTTAAGAAGACCAGCCAAATTGCATTGTCAACACAACAACTTATTTAACTGTACAACCAGATCAGCAATACTGTTACATATTCAACTGCACTGCCTAGTCGACATAACATATTGATCAAAACTACAATCAGACAACTATAACAGCATAATCAGCACTTTAAGATGAGCAACTCTATAAAGTTAACAGAATTACAACTTGTTCAACCCAATTAGCAGATTAGCCTTTTAAACACAAAAGCCTTTTACGCTACACCACAGCCTTATGTATAATATAATAGCTTGTACAAAACTACAGCCTGTTCAACATTACATCATGCTTGAAACACTACATAATGCTCAACACAATAGCCTATTCAGTATTACAATCTTGATCAATACTTCGACCTGATCAGCACCACTTACTTGATAACCAAACTAGTCAACTGTTCTGTCTTCCAAACAATACAACCTGAAAAACATTACAACCCCATCAACATTAATATAAGGTAAGAACAGAATATGTTCCAACATGATCAGCACTACTGGCTGTTCGACACAACATTCTGAATTCACTACTGCCCGGTCAAGACAGCACTAAAGCCAAATAAACTACATGTATGTACAACTTGATCAACCGTACAACCTAAACAATAATACAGTATTTCCAGCACTACAATCTGACAAATTTGGTTACATTTTTGATAATTTTTTCACGACATTACATATCTATCTTTGAATTGTAAATTTATTAAAACACGCACTTTAATAACGGATGTAGCAAAATTAAAGCGGCATCGTATTAAAGGCCCCAGAGCTTGATTGTTCTGTTGAGACGCCCTGACATCTGCTTTAACAATCTTGTCTTTGTTATATAAAGTTACATACATAAAGAATCCTTCTGGCATTTTTTGACGAAAATCAAATGAAAAATACAACCTCTAGACTGTATAACCAGGTATTTCTCTGATTAACCCTAGTATTTGACCGGTATTCGAATTCATCCGAGGGACCTTTAATATAATCATTATTGCAAAGTTTGACAAAGATCCAATCAAAATTTTGCTAGAAGGAAGAATGGACTTTTTCCAGTGATTACAGTTTTGTGCAAATTGGCTCTCTGACTATCATTTACTTCACGCTGATATTACATATTCACTGTTTGACCCAGGTTTACACAAAAGAACACGATGGCGGTGGTGGTATTGGTTTTCACTGCGGACCACGGCAGTAAGCTACATTTCAATTTACCAGAGCACAGTTCAGCCACCGCACCGTTCCTTGGCAAGCTGTCAAGCAGTTTACCAGTTCTGGTTGCCTTATTTTCGCAAGGAACTGACACGTACTTCTGTACATGCCAGTGCAGAGGTGCAGTGTGAATAGGGAACGTGTTACAGTATCGCGTTTTTCGATTACAGTATAGAATTTTCAGGATGGAGAATTATTTGTGGGGAAGACAGGTAGGCGATTTTTATTGCGGACCACACTACAACTAGTTTAATTTCTAAATGATGTTTTTGTGCTTTACTTGTAAGAAACTGAGCATGGTATTTAGTCATTTATTTCTTCAGACCCTGCATGGCAGTTTATCTCTATATTATCTCAAAATGCAGGGCTGGAAATCAAAACTGCGTCGTATCCTACAAAACGTAAACAAACGCCTGCATCTTGGAATGAAAAAGGTATGTTTTTGTTTATTACTCTTTTTGTTGTAAATGACTGTAAACCAGCTATATGTATTAACACTCTCCACTATTTTCCACTTCGTTCGGTATATGTTGCTTGCACAACTGTTTTGGCAAACAAAAGTTATAGCGAACTTGCAACTCGAAGCGGGCAAGAATTTTTATGAAGTTTTGTGGATACGACACAGTTCATATTGCATTATCATCAAATATGGTACGACGCAGATGTATTTCTTAAGCAGTCTTTTTAACAGGGATAATTTTGCCAATAATTCATTTTACCGAATAATTACTTGCGCTTGATAAAAAAAACCTTATTGTTCACGGTTTATAGCAATGTGCTGTTGCTTTAAAATATTTAGAATACGCTGTTTCATTTCCAATATAACATTTAATTTGAAAGTTTACATTGCGAAAGCTACGTTTCAGATAAGCATGAACATGTTTATTAAGTTATCATAATATCTTAATTAATATTATCACTATATATTTTGGGATGAATACAGTCACAAAATTCATTTTGGCTAAATTTTGGCAAATGTTGCTCCTGCAGAGAACCGTCGACATTTTGAAGCTAGCTCGATCAGTTTTCTACAATGAAGAATCAAAAGTCCACGATGAAGTTCGAATTCACAACAGTTCTTGGCAAGTGATTTGAAGTCGGTTAACATAAACATCCCGGCCTCGGTCAGACACACACATGTCTGAATTGTTTTTTGTTGTTTTTTTTTTCATGTCAGCTGTACAAATAAGCATTTTATTAAATAAACTTCTGGTATGAAGTTTTAAGATTACAAATATTTGAATAATTATAAAGAGAATAGCATTTAAATGCCTTGTTTAGATGAAATATTTCCTTACTCTCTAAGATCACTTTTTACTTTGATATTTACATTTCAAAAATAGTATATGTCGGTGGTAGAAAAAATTCAATGCAATCAGTGGGTGATTCTCATTGAAATCATTTTCTGAAAACCTTTGTTTTATGTGTTAGGCAATTCATTATCATAGAAAATTCACACTTTAATATCAATGCTCAGATTTAAGGTATATAAATATGCAATGTCTTGAGTCTATGCATGGTGTCTTGAGTCTATGGAAAACTCAACGCGATATGTCTCATTCCGGCTTTAATTGCAAAACGGACACCAACTTTACAAAATAATTTGTTGTTTTATCATTTATAGCTTGATTTTAAACATTTAAAGATTATTATGGAGCAGGATGAACCTGTGTTGCAAATATCAAATTAATTTTCATAAAATTCATTCCGTTTGTTCTCATCGACGATAAGGAAACGCAATGCGTCAAAATCAGCAGTCAAGTACTTAAAATGACTGAATGAAACGCATACCTTACTTGCAAAAACATATTATAGTTTAATCACTTATAATATGACTTAAAAAATTAATGTTCATTGAAGAGAGGAATAATACTTTTATTTCAATTACTGATTTAAGTTTCAAATAATAAAGCTTTTTTGTTCTCACCGATTATAAAGAAAATGAATACAAACACTCGGCGCGTACACGACATAAGTTATAAAGGAATTGTCGGGAATTGTTGTTCATAGTAACAAAGGTTGGCATATAATTTGCACATACCTATCTTCTGATAGCAAGATTTTTTTTCTCGAAATTTGTAATTTTATCTTTTTTAAACAAAGATCATTCCGGGTTGATACAGGGTTCACGTTACCCTGGAATATTGACATTTTGTATCATAAAAGTACAAATTGAAAAATTAACCACCCTATTAGTTACGAATTCACGAGAACAAGTTTACAAGCATGCTTAGGCAACACTAGAACAAGTTGTCATATGGGTGTACGTGTTTCCATGTATTCTGCATTTGATACACCTTTTTTTTTGGAATTTGACAGGTGCTTAAAAGCGACCGAAAAATGAAGCCTTAATAGAATTTTCATTACATTTTTACCGTTTTTGGGAAACCAATGAGTGACCTCTGCTATTGACTTAAGTTGCATACAAGATCGCTTGTGTGTATTCATAATGATTAAAAGAATCGCAAAAACGAAATGTTGTTGGACGTTTCTAGCCTCTTCGGCACATAATTTAATAGCAAAACAATATATATGAAAATACAACTGCGTCGTATAATATTTTCTTTTCAACTGCGTCGTATCATTTCGTACAAATCATTATTTTCTTTCAAAATAAACATTTCTTTTTAATAGAATTTTAAATAAATGACGTAAAATTATATTTTGAAATTCATGGTTAATTCTAAAATGAGTATATATTTGATTTGAATGATAAAACGGTGGATAAAGCAAATAAGAACTGCGTCGTATCAACAAAAATCCATAAAAATTCTTGCCCGCTTTTTGTTGCAAGTTCGCTATAACTTTGCAAG